AAGAGAAATATTCTTTAGGTCTTCAAAAAAGATTTTCCAGCTCTTTTGTCCCTGAACCTTCTGCTCATAGATCATAAGTCAAGCCTGAGAGTTGGTAGAATCAGCGACACTACTTGTTATTCAGGCTGGTGCTATGTCACAGTGATACAGTAACTTTCCTGAAGTCTTCTGTCAACCTCATGTTGGCCAGCAATAATGTTGCTCTTTGTCTAGTAAGTTCCATCAACATCATTTTGCTCTTTCATCAAAACCAGCTCACAAACAACCAGAAAGACCTTTGAAACTATCGGTGATCCAGGTTTACATTTTGTTTTTCTCATACAAACAACACATAAGCATAGTCCAGTCCTGGCCAGTGTGGCTCAGTGGACAGTCTTAATTCAAACACCACCAATGTATAGAGTAAAAACTTAGTCCCCTTCAATCTCTCCTCTCCTAATCTCTTTCTTCATATTGTTAATAGTTCGGTGTGCATCCTTTTAGACAGTCTTGCATATTTATTTATAACTAATAAACAATTATGGTGTGTTTTCTACAGAATAGGATCACACATAGTTCTACTGATGGCCTTTTCGACTCATCACAACGTCTAGACCTGTATCTAGAGATCAATCCCAGTGGCTGGCAAACTCAGCCCACAGGGATCCTCAGCACAGTTTTATGGACGCAGAGACACATTCTCGTCTCACGTCTTGTCTGTGGCTGCTTTCACAGCAAAGACGCGACAGCCTCCAAGCCCAACATACTTTCTATCAGTTCCTTTACACAAAGTTTGCCGACCCCTGATCTATCTTATTAGTACCAGCCCAATATTCCATCTAATGAATACATTGTGTTTTACTGATGGGTACTTAGTGCCTTTGCCTTTTCCCACACTGTGAATAATGCTGCACGGAGTAGGCACCAAGGACTATACTTTGAAAACTCTTTTTATAAACGGTGGGTAAGCAACTTGAGAAAGATGCCTCTAATTATTCCAACAACGAAAGAGAAGGGATGTTCACGTGACGTGGCAGAGGAGCTAAATACCACTGCGGTGGCAATCATGTCACCGTGTTTCAATGTATCACATTAGCATGCTGCATGCCTTAACTTGATCCAATGTCACGTGTCACTGCACTCAACTGAAAAAGGAAAAAGGTGCTTGGCACATACTGCTACTCAAGTATGTGTTGATGAACCACCTTCGAATGAATCACAATACCACACACAGTACTTTGCAGAGTTTAGGAAACTGATCTTTACGGAAAAACTTCACGCAAGTAACTCAAGGGCATGATTATTGATAATTAAATGTAAAAACCGAAATCCTGCCCCAAGTCCTCAAGATACCCTAGAATGTGTCCCCAGCTCTCCCCTTACTAACGCAGGCGACACAGAGAAAGCCATTTTCTCCTTTATAAATACACACAAATCAGAATGAGCCATTGAGGACACCGAAATATTTGAAAAGTTCCCGTGAAGATCCTTCAAGGACTTCTTTTCATTCTTGAAGTTTTATTCAGTTATTTTTAAAAATCTAAACCTTAGCTGTATGTCCTGTTCTTTCATTACGGACTCTACTCATTTTAACCGATTAGTAATTCTCAACACCTTCTCTTGCTTGTGCATCTGCTAACTCTTTCTCATTTACTTCCGTACGCGATATCTATGCATTTTGTACTGTAAGTTCAGCTTCAGCTTTGTGGGATGGTTTTCCTCCCAAGGGAACCTCCAAATACCCTGTTTTGTCCTGGTGACCCTACGGTGCAGTTCTGTATTTGTTTCAGCTGGGTCCCTCAGGGCTTCGTCATTCCTACACTGGGATGTCATTAAACCTCTGGCGAAAGATCTTAGCTTGGGGTTTCAGTACATGTGAACGGTGTCGACTTTAACCCTCGATCCATAAATGGTACAGGATTCTCACTCAGGGTCCGGGGAGAGGGCCTGTTCTCTTAGTGACTCTGAAGGGGCAAAGGGTAGGGTTTTCCTCGGTCCTTCAGCATGAATGTTAGTCTTTAAAAGTCTTGGTTTTCTCAGGGGCCTCAGCCCCAGCTCCGCTATGTGCCTTGAGGCCACATATCATGTCCTCGGCTCAGAGGGCTGCTCTTTATCGCCCTGATGTCGAGTTCCCTCGGGTACAGTCCTCTCTGCAGGCTCACTTATGTTGTTAGTTTTTAAAAAGAATACACTGTATCAAACGTTGTTCTGCATTATAGCAGAAGGCAGGTGTTCAGTGTTCAGTCGGCTCTACTAAGTAAGTTCCCTGTCAATTTCATACAGCCAATGAAGAAATATAATCGCTCCCTGCTTTTCTCCGAGATCAGTGCTCCCCATCCAGTGCTCCCCGCAGGGAGAACGGGCACTGCGGGGACGGAGTCACAAAGTGACTCTGGGAGACAAGAGGAAAATGTATCAGCTCTGATGCACACTGATGTGCAAGGCAAGTGGAGTTAATGTACGCACTGATACGCTGGTGCCTCACTGGGCCTGTGTATCAGACATGTCACTTTACGTGTGACACTAGAAGTTTCGGGAGGAAGAACAGGCACCTGGAAGGTGGGCTGGGACGTGTGAGGCACCTCCCCCTCCTCATTCGTTTGCTCTTGATGCTGTGATGAATGGAAGTTTACAGGTGCTCGGTGAGTGGATCATATTTAGTTTCAACTCAAAGCCAAAGAGTGCCACAAATTCTTGCAAAGAAACTATGACTCTAAGACAGTAAGTATAAATAACAATATTAATAGCTAACCAACAAACACATCTGACTTCTCTTATTCCCAGAATGAGTTCTCTATATAGATAAGGCATATATGTAATTTTTTATGTTCAATATATACCCTGTGTCAAAAAGCTAAAAATGCTTTCAAGATAGATAAACCTACTAAAAAGTGGTTGGTGACTAATGCGCTAGGCAACCAAGTTATTCCCGTACTGAGAAGCTGACTGTGGCCAGAGGCTAAGAAACTAGACTGGAGCCATTCAAAGGGTCTCCCCAGAACGAATCCTCTTAGAACCTGGGCTCCACAGTAAAAACTCCGGGGGAGCCCTGGCCAGTTCGGCTCAGCAGTTAGAGCATCGGCATGTGGTCCAGAGAGACCCAGGTTCGGTTCTCACTAAGGGCATGTACCTCAGCTGCAGTTTGTCCCCAGCCCTGGTTGGGTCGTGCGGGTGGCAGCCACTCAATGTGTCCCTTTCACGTCGATGTTTCTCTCTCTCTCTCTCTCTTCCTCTCTGTCCCCCCTGCTCTATCTGAACAAAAAATGGAAAAATGTCCTCGGGTAAGGATAAAAAAAAAACAAACTCCGGAGGACAGGGACAGTCTCTCGTTTAGAGGTCACAGAAAACGTACTATCATGCTGGAGTTCTCAGTTTGAGGCTAAGTCACATCCAAACGAGGACAGATGTGTGGAACATCTGCCCACAAGGAGGCATCAAGATTTAGATGAGAATCCCCAGGAGGTTTCTGTTTCTGTTTCTGTTTTTTTAAAATAGGACAGTAAAACACAGGGCTGCAGACAACATTAAGTCACTGTACAAGAATGGGAGCGATACAGCCAACCCTTTAACAAGCCAGGCAGCTGTAGCGCACGTCAGATGTGCTGTGTGTTAGCTGTTCTGCTCAGGAAACAAGAGACTGGAAATTATCATTGTGGTAACTTTGAATCTGCTCAGATAAACTTTAAAAATTTCCAATTGCACCCAGCCGGTGTGGCTCAGTGGTTGAGCATCGACCCATGCACCAAGAGGTCGCCGGTTCGATTCCCAGTCAGGGCACATGCCCAGGTTGTGGGCCCGATCCCCAGTGCGGGGCATGCAGGAGGCGGCCAATCAATGTTCTCCATCATTGATGTTTCTAGCTCTCTCTAAAATCAATAAAGAAATGTTAAATAAAAAAAAATTTTCATTTCCAATTTCAATAAGGTAACTCTTTTCAGTAACAAATCACTTGGGATACTCCACACAAATGACCAAACGCAAGATAATGTCATGACGTCAGGGTCTGAGAAGTGCTTCTTGGAGTCTGAGTCAGTCACTCTTTAGTCTGAATTGGTGACAGGTACATGATGCTCACACCTCAGCCCCCGGGGTGAACGGGCTGGGCTGGGGGCAGCTGGATGCTCAGACCGGTCACTCTGACCACAGCAGCCTCCTCGACTTACCCTGGTGTGTGCTACACGCATGATTACTTTGTCTGTGCCACAACATTTTCAGATGTAGTGCCCGGGAGCAGTGGTCTGCGACTGCCTGCCTGCCTGTGGGTCAAAGCTGGCCCGTGGTCTATTTTCATATGGCCCCTGGGCCACCAATGATTGTAACATTTTTAAATGGTTGAAAAATTTTTAAAAGATCAACAGGCGATGACACGCAGAAACGACAAGAAATTCAAACCTCACTGTCCGTAAATGAAGTTTTACTGGAACACAGCCGTGCTCGCTGGCCTCCGCCGTCCATGGCTGCTTTCGCGTGGCAACGGCAGGCTCCGTGGTGGCGGCCACGGAGTCTAAGACATTTGCTGTCTGCTCCCGGACAGAGGCAGTCAGGCAAGCTCTGTCTCCGAGCAGCACTCTGTCGACGCCAGGAACCACGTTCCGTGGACAGACCTGACTTTCAGCAGGTCAGGATTAGGTCATGTCACATCCCTGCCCCAAGGTCCTCACCCTTGGCAGCCTGCAGGACTGGACGTTGGCATTGCGTACCCAAGTACCAGAATAAAAACGACCTGCCATGGCACCGCTGGTGGCTTTAAGGTGGTGACCAGGAGGCTGTTTCGATGCTGACACACATTTCTGGAACAGAGAGTAGCTTGGGGACAACAGAACAGAATGTCTAAAAGCGGGGCTCTCAGAAAACACCTACAGGCTCTACGTCCTCCACCTGCAATGTGCTTCTTCACTGATGTTTAAAGGAGGATGTTAAAAGGGCTCCTTCTCCACGCAAACAAGGAAGAGATAAGGGGGCAGATGGACAGGAAATGAGAAGTGAGCTTGTTGAGCCCCGAGGGGAAGCATGGCGCTTACTTGCACAAGTGTAGGCGTCTTTGTTGGTGAAAGACTTCGCGCACTGAGTGCAGCTGATCGGGCCCACCACGGGAATGGCGCTGAACGAGTGGCCGTTGAGAAGCTTCTTGTCCTTCTCTTTAGACTCTTTCTCCTTCTCCTTCACTTTCTCTTTCTCTTTCTCCTTTTCCTGCCAAAGGAAAGAAGCGACGGTTCATTGGACACTGGAAGGGCTACCCTTTCCCTGGGCCACCCAGATGGCACGGCTGGGGAATGCTTTGAACAAACATTGACACGGTCCCGGACCATTTTTTAAAAATTAACTCGCGAGCATTAACCTGTGGAAAACCACAGGAAGCCAGGTCAGGCTAAGCAGCTCAGTAAGGGCTCACGCGGTGACTGTTCACACCGACAGGCACAGCGCCCAAGGTCCAACCCTGGAAAGAGGCCTGTGACGCTGGAGAAGGAGGTGTCTGGAGTGGCCCCGCGTCCTCAGAAAGCCACGCAGGCCATGCGTTCAGGGCCGGCTGCAGGCAGGGCACAGGAAGGGAAGACAGCAACCCGGGGACCAGCCTGAGGGGAGGCAAGATGACGGAGCGATATGAAGCGACCGAGGTTCCTCTCCGACTTCCTCCCACCAATCACACCCCAAATGAGGGCCTGTCCCTGAGGGCTTCTCCCTTACTCCAGCCAGAAATATTAAATATCCCCCACGTACACATTCAGTTTTTACTCATCAGAATTTCAAGGCTCATCGATGTGCACTTGGGCCCAATATTCAAATTGAGTTGAAGAGGAATTTAAACTCTGAAATCTTCATAAATAGTGATGGGCACTGGATCCTTATTCAAATACCGCCAGCTGTCAGGGATAATTCAGGGGCACACTACTCTCAGGAGGCTAGGACCGTGGGGGTCTAACTGTGCTCCCCACGGACGGTCCTTTAGAATCATGTCAGACTCTCAGCTGGTTCATCAATATCAACTGAACAGTTTCCTTTCAACCAATGGACCTTGAATTACAATTCACAGAGGCAGGAAGGATTTATTGGTTGTCATAATCACTAACCGAGGGACATCCATTTTCCAGGGAATGTAATATTATTGCTGCAATCTACGAAACTTCCTGGAAAATGAGCACCCCGAAATCAGTGACACCGACAGTTACTAAATGCCGTACATTCTGAATCCATGCCTTCCACGTACATTATTTCACCTGAGTCAACAACTCTGGAGGACGAAGGGTGGGCACGATGCTCCCCATTTTACAACTGAGAGGACGAAGATAACAAATAACAGCGACATTTTGAGTATTACCAGGTGCCAAGCACCGTCGTAAGGAATTCACATGGCATTTCTCATAACAACCCAATGAAGTAAGTATGTGCTATTAGCTCTCTTTTACACTTCCGGCCAGACGCTAATCCCTGCCCAAGATGGAATTAGCATCCAGATCTGGAAGACTAAGCTCAGCTCCTATTCACGTCGCTCTCTGCCAAGAGCCGGAGAGGTTTGTTGACTCACAAAAGGTCACACAGCAAATGATCAACAGAACCCATGTCTTCACTTCCTACCCTGAACCGAAACGATGAATGTTGCTAAGTCTATGATTCACGTAAAGTCCTTTTCAGTAGAAAACACAATAAAAAGCTAAGTGCTGAATTGCTACACTTGAGAACTATAAAAAAAAATAACGAGAGAAGAAGGGAGAGCAACTACCATACTTCACTTTACAAAACAGGAAACTGTTCCGAGTGGAAATTAGTAACCGCTAAAGTACATAAAACTCCAATAAAAATAAATAACAGAAACTGAGTTTTTTCAAGGCATTTCTTTTAACTAAATTCTGCTGAAGACTTTTCCATACATAAAACGTTCATCTGCAAAGCATCTGGCTTTTTAATCACGAAAGCTAATGCGTGTTCCAAGAGTAAAACAAATCTATGGCAACTTACTCTCTCAACACTCGCGATGACTTTCAAGTCTGAATAAATTAACAATTGACATCCTCGTCCTTTGCAACAACCCAAAGTAGTCCTTCCAAGGATGAAAGCAAAACAATCAACTCCACTGTCTCTCTCTGTGTTTATCAGAATTGAGTGCTTTAAGGAAGCTAGGTTCTTACCTCCCCATGGTTTGGTCCTATGAGTCTCAGTGTTATTTGGGGTACTTCATGAAAACGACACCATTTTATCGACATGATTGACCCCCATGCCAGGAAATAGACTCTCACAGGAGGGGCTCATGCCGGCAGGGCTGAGCTCAGTGACTTCATGCTGCCATCACAGAAACAGAGGAAGCCAGAGACTGGTTGAGAAAGGGAAGGAGGGAGGGCTGCGGCTGTTGATTTCCTTAACAGAAGCTTAACCATTTGAATGCCGCCAGTAAAGCCAACTACCCTAGTTACGAAGGACACAGAAAACGAAACACAGCTAATTCCCCAGACCACAGTGTGTGCGGATGGTGCTGAAGCTGGGAACGCGGGGAAGGACTGAAGTCAAATTTTTAACACTGGGAGCTAAGGAACACACCTTACCTATTTAAAAACAAATGGCTCGTTTTAGAAAAAGCAGTGTATTTCTTAGGAAACTTCATTCTCAGCGAAGTCGCCTGTGGTAAGTGGCGATGGGCTGTTTTCTGAAATTTGACTTTTCCACGTTTAACAACTGCCAAAAGGCTTTGACTGTGAAGCCAGCGTGTTTAAAGAGAAAGACGCAGAAAAAAACAACACTAGGATAATGCGAAGGAAAAGTATTTTTTGACGTTTCTAAACCTACTGTATTAGACAAGCAATTAAATTTTTTGGAAAAATCAGAGAATGAACACTGTGGAACATGCTGGGATTATGCAACCTGTCATGTTACAGATCTCTAACCAATAAGGTACCAGTAAGATTAAGAATTTGTCCAAAAAACTGCTACCCTGGTTGTCTGCAGAGAAAAAAAAATCACTGTGAAAGGCTGACTTAAAGATGGTCTCTATGAATGAGAACATCATGCATAGAGATGTGTTGGTGTTTGGACACCAAAGCCAGCAAACTTACTTAGCAGGAAACAGTCTTCTCTCTCAAAGGTACTAACAGACAAAAGCAGAAACTGCCCGTCTTCCTGTTATACTTCCTGTTTAAGTTCTCCCCCTTTCGAAAACACATCCAATGCATTTATCTGATAACTCATGCCCGTCTTCAATAATTCTTAAAAAGACATGTGAAGGGTTAGCGTCAATTTCTCAAACATAGCTCAGTGCTACAGATAAACCATATTATCCAGGAATGTGGACCATTTGCCACCTTGTGGTTGGCTCTGGGCCCCTCTGAATATTATTTAATAATTCTTTATAACCAGATATTATAAATTAACATAATAATTAACATGGATTGTAATGTATCTTGGTAAACAACTATACCTTATTTGATATGACTATATCATGCCTAATTATAAGGAAAGTAAAAATTTCCAAACCATTCTTAGAGACTTTACTAAGATTTAGAGGTGGTGATTTAATACAATAAATGCTAAAATTTTTCCTTTAAAAGGAGAAGTGGTTACATTGTACAACAGATTAATAAACACAGGCTAGATAAGCTCTAATAGTATCTCTTTAGAAATCAATTTAAAAGTAAAAATGTATCGTTTTCATAAAAAAAAGCATTTCCAAATTTTTAACATTATGGAAAAGTAACAATATTCAATAACTAAGAAAACCAGTAGTTAGTGTCACACTAAGAAGTCATTCATGTATTTTTTGTGTTGTTTAGTTTTTTGTGTTGTTTAGAGCAGCAATTTTCAACCTTTTCCATCTCCTGGCAGAAATAAACTAATTACTAAAATAATGCCGCACACCACAAATATATATATTTTTGCCAATCTGACAACAAAATAGGTATAATTTTGACTCATTCACACTGAATAGCTAGTGTTGTGTTGGCTGTAGTCATTTTTAAATTTGAGAGAAAAGAGGTCAGTGCCCCTGACTAAATAGTCAGGTATTGCATGTTTTATAAATTCTTCGGGTTGAAAATTACTGGTTTAGAGAATCACACACTCTGTATGGAAACACTCTACTGTTGGCACAAAGACAGGGTAGTTACTGTAACTTAAAAGTGTACCTGCTTCAGCCGGGTCAGTGTGGCTCAGTGGTTGAGCGTTGACCCATGAACCGAGAGGTCGCCGGTTCGATTCCCAGTCAGGGCACATGCCCAGGTTGTGGGCCAGATCCCCAGTGGGGGGCATGCAGGAGGCAGCCCATCGATGTTCTCTCTCATCAATATTTCTATCTCTCTCCCTCTCCCTTCCTCTCTCTCTCAAATCAATAAAGAAAAAATATTTTTTTAAAAAATGTATTGCTTCAAAGGACATTTGTAATACTTTCAACAATAAAGATTTAAAAAATAAAGAAATAAAATAAAATTTTTAAAAAATGTATTGCTTCAATACTTCCCCTCTTTCTTACTATCTTTTTTTTTTTTTTTTATCCTCACCCGAGGATATTTTTCCATTTTTTGTACAGATAGAGTGGGAGGGAGAGAGAGAGAGAGAAACATAGACGTGAAGGGACACATCAAGTGGCTGCCACCCACACGACCAACCAGGGCCGGGGACAAACTGCAACCGAAGTACGTGTCCTTAGCGGGAACTGAACCCGGGTCTCTCCGGACCACAGGCCGATGCTCTAACCGCTGAATCAAACTGGCCAGGGCCTTACTATCTTTTTTGTACATTGATGGAAGCTAAGCTACTCTACTGGAGGTTCTAAAATAATTTTATTTACAGTTAGCTAGTAACAATGATGAAAGGTGACTCTTAAACTTCTTAACATGTTTGACTGCTGGGGTACCGGAAACACCTGAAAAGATGAAATAGACTGCAATCTAGGGTTACAGACTTGCAATCTTTTGAGTTTCGATCGCTGGAGATAGCCCAAGACCCCGGAGATCAGATCTAGAAGCCAAGAAGGAAAGAGGAACCATCTGATTACAAAAGAGTGTCGTCATTTTGACAAGAGAGCCACAGACAGTTTCTGCCAGACTTTCCTGTCTCTAACGGACACCAATTGCCTTCCTTTCTCCTGCCCTTTCTCTTCATCCTCCCACTAGCAAAACTCTAGTCCGTGGAGATGATGAAGAGAGTTAAAAGGAAAAAAAAAAAAGCATTTGGTAACAGATTTTGTTTAAAGGAGAGCATGAAATGTCATGTGCTACTGAACGAAAGGCAGACTGCTCTTGGCTGGGAAGTCGACCACACGTGGTCCTGCCTTCATATGATCTAGTTCTGCGACCGAAGCTCACTTCTTCGGGCTTCCCTTTGTACATAAGAAGGCTGGGATGGCTTCCGTAAAGGTCAGGTCCCAGTGTCTAAGTTCAGCCTTGTATCATTGTGTTCCTGTCTGTCTGTATCAGCTCGCCAATGAGACGCATGGTGAATTCACTGTGGCGCCTTAACTCTGTGTCACTGGGCATCTGAGATGATCGAGAGGGGGTCTCACTCATTTAATGGTCTTCCCGTGAAAAGTTGGTTTGAAGAAAAGATTCCAGTTTAAAAACAGAATAAAGAACAACAAAAAATATTCTGAAATCATCCAGATTTTAAAGGTTGTTTTTTTCTTTATTTGATTTTGAGAGAGAGAGAGAAATATCAATGAGCTAGAACATCAACTGGCCGCCTCCTGCATGCCCCCCACTGGGGATCGGGCCCACAACCTGGGCATGTGCCCTGACCAGGAATCGAACCGGCGACCCTTGGTGCATGGCTCAACGCTCAACCACTGAGCCACATTGGCCAGGAGATTATAAAGGTTTTCAAGGGAAAGACCATGAGCCTGTTAGTACCTAGCAGAATGCTGAGGCGATAGAAGTCACTCATAACACTTGGCTAATTTCTATTGACCTTCCTAGATTTTCTTTTGTTGATGACACCCAGTATCCGAGCCAGCAGTGATAAATACAATAAATAAGGCTCTATTCTAAGCCTTACTGGCAATACACAGAATACCAGGAAGCATTCTGCCTTCTTCAACATTATTTTTGACTTATAAAAAAAGGCTATGAATGAAGTTAATACTTCAATATGCAATTATTCTAGAAACAGTTGGCTAGACTCTGCTCTATCTTCTAATTTTCCGGATTGTCCCATTCCTGTCCATTCTGCACTTGAGCTGGAGAAACGAGGCGAAAACACCTTTCTGGAGGCAGGTTGTGCGGGAAAATCCTGATAGATGAGCAAACCTAGCATTAGCCGGAAGCAAGAGATCTGGACCTGGCCGGATGGGCTCAGCAATTAGAGCGTCGGCCCGCGGACCAAAGAGTGTCGAGTTCGGTTATGGTCAAGGGCACATTCCTCGGTTGTGGTTCGGTCCCCAGCCCTGGGTGGGTCAATGTGGGAGGCAACCAATGTGTTTTTCTCACATCTCTCTCTCTTTCTCTCTCTCTCCCTCCCTTTCTCCCACTCTTTCTAAAGAAAAATAAAAAAAATATCCTTGGGTGAGGATTTAAAAAAAAGAAAGAGGTCTTATTTACGAAACAGTCAAACACATTGACTATGTTTCTATCACCCCACTGAACTGAGGGCCTGAGACGCCTACAGTTTTGTTTTCTGGGGGGAAGGAGTGTGGGGAGGTACACCCTGACATCAGGACTCTGGGCTTCAGTGTCTGCTTAGTCCCTGACTTCTACGTGTGTTCGTACACCCGTGTGTATGTCTAGACCCCAGCACGCGCATGCGCGCACACACACGGACAAGTGCTCCCTTGGCAAGAGCTCCTGGACGGATTTCCAGTATGTCTTACTTTTTTCTCCCTTTGTTGGGGTTGGGTGGACAAACGCAGTGCCACAGAAGCCGAGGTAAAAGCTTGTCCCCAACACTGGCAATCAGTATAAAGAAGGTTATGTCCCCTTGGTTCTTTCTTTGTAAAATAAACTTTTAAAAAAAGATCAGAAGAGTTGCTGTTTCTCTTTGGGGTTCTTATTGGTGCTTTTTAGTCTTCTTGTAATGAGCGAGAAAAAATGAATACGTTTACAAACGTGTGTGTATGTTATTTCAACCTCTTAAAGCACTAAAGAGGATATACTGCACCTGCTCCTAGTTACCAACGGAGCGAAGAGTTCCTACTTGTCTTGCAAGTTCCTGTTACTTTGTGTGGGAAAATCTTTCTAACCCCCCAGACCAGTGGTTCTCAACCTTCCTAATGCCGCGACCCTTTAATACAGTTCCTCATGTTGTGGTGACCCCCAACATGAAATTAGTTTTGTTGCTACTTCATAACTGTAATTTTGCTGCTGTTATGTCTTAGGCGACCCCTGTGCAAGGGTCGTTCGATCCCCAAAGGGGTCGCAACCCACAGATTGAGACCCGCTGCCCTAGACCCAAATATAAATAGTCTCCATTCCCTGACCTTGGCCTGAATGTCCTCAGATGCATTTTAAACCTGGTAACTGATTTAAGCACCAGAGTGGCACCGGAATCTTTGGTTCCATAGGAGGGGCACAAATGCACCCGGGAAAGGTATCTCACCCCCAGAAAAGGGAGAGAATCTCGACCTAACAGGGTTGCAGAAAGGGTTGCATCAGACAGTGTATGAAAACCTCGAAGCAACGTGCTAAACACTCGGCCAGTGGTATTACCTCTTGTTATCTTTCTTGCTGTTATAGGTACTTTTTACTATTAGGCTATTTCAGGGGGTAGCTCTGAATTTATTTCCACACGCCCTCACTTCGTTAGTGTGCAGATGGACTGAGACACACGGGGAAAGCCCACGGCGCTACTCACTTTGCTCTTCTTACTGCTGGACATTTTATTCTTGATGTAGCTGAAGGTTCGGCTGACTTTCGTTCCCGTCTTCCCTTCCAGATCCTTCTTGGAGTGGCTCTGTGGCAGGAAACCGTAGTTCTCTTCTGTTATACTAATAAAAATAAAAAGATTGATTTGAAAAAAAACAAAACAAAAACACTACAGAAGTTATTTTTTGAAAATCAAAACACCTTCTATGTAATTCTTTGTAGCCATTTTCATCATATATTAGTTTAGCTACAAATCCATCATCTCGCACAGGCAAATGGGAGGCGGAGTGAGAGACGGACAGAGGCTGCTCAACAGCTTGATACAGGAGCATCTGACAATAACCCCACACAATGGCCATGTTCTGTTGCCAAAAGTACTGCATCATCTCCCATTATCACATGAAGGGGGAGTCCAGCACAGTAAGAGACTTTGAGAAGGATCATATTCATATAACTTTTATAACAATATATTGTTATCGCTCTATTTTATTATTGCTATTCACTTACTATGTCTGATTCATACGTTAAACTTTGTCATTCATATATAAGAATATATAGTATATATAGAGTTTGGTACTGTCTGCGGTTTCAGGTGACCACTGGGGTTTTGGGAAAGTAACCCTGTGGACAAGGGAGGACCAGTGCACACACGCACAGGAACAAAATGTTGTTAGACGAGAATTAAAAATCCCGCCCTAGTCGGTTTGGCTCAGCGGTTAGAGTGTCAGCCTGCGGTCCAGAGGGACCCGGGTTCGGTTCCCGCTAAGGGCACGTACCTCGGTTGCAGTTTGTCCCCGGCCCTGGTTGGTCGTGCGGGTGGCGGCCACTCGATGTGTCCCTTTCACATCGATGTTTCTCTCTCTCTCTCTCCCTCCTGCTCTATCTGAACAAAGAATGAAAAAGTGTCCTCAGGTGAGGATAAAAAAAAAATCCCCATAAGCAAAGAGCACAAAAGTCAAATAAATGAAAACAATAATCTTTATCAGTAGGCTAGTGTCAAGAATAAAAGTGGAAAAAGTGCTGATGAAGAGATTATTTAAAAAGGATACACTCTTCATCACAAACCACTACTAACCAATGTTACATATTCATCGCTCAAGAAAGTCAATGAACTCAATTGACTTAGTTCGCTTAGTTAAGTGCCGTAACATGTTTTGGATCTCCTCCATTTGACCCTGGGGAAAGGAGTAACACATGAACGGACAGTACCTCTCCGTCAGGTTAGCACTGGTGTAGAAAGCCCGAGAATCTAGAAAACAAACCACAGAGAAAACGTTAGAACTGGAGGCTTGTGCCCGAAGGACAGACAAAATCCTAAACTCTTTACAGTGACAAAGCAGATGCAGCCTCTGAAAGCCAGCGTGCGGTGCCTCCTCCTCCTAAGGGTTTGGGAGAAGGAAAGTTAACCTTGAAACCCTCCAATGAAAACTGTGACAGGGCCCTGGCCGGTTTGGCTCAGCGGTTAGAGCGTCCGCCTGCGGTCCTGAGAGACCCGGGTTCGGTTCCCGCTGAGGGCATGTGCCGCGGTTGCAGTTTGTCCCCGGCCCTGGTTAGTCGTGCAGGTGGCGGCCACTCGATGTGTCCCTTTCACATCGATGTTTCTCTCTCTCTCTTCCTCTCTCTCCCTCACACTCTATCTGTACAAAACATAAAAAAATGTCCTCGGGTGAGGATAAAAAAAAAAAGAAAACTGTGACAGGGAGTGCATCTCACGACACAGGGAACGAAGTTTAATCCAGGATTCAAGTCACTAAACATACCCCAAACTAAGATGTTTTCCCTAATGTTACCACACACACAAAACGTGTAATTGTTGGTACTTGGCAAATTCAGGTCCCACTGGCCATCATTCTGACATGATGCCCCAGGAAGAATACAAAATAAAAAATGAAATATCGTATTCTGTATGCTGTTCGTTTCGCTGTCATGTATTTCTGCACTAAAAATCTACGTCATACGTATGTGATATTCTCCGGAACATTCCTGGAACTGGGTTAGTGGACAGAAAGGGGCTTCCGAGCTGGCTTGTAAGGTCTTGACCATGTCCCTAATTTGGGGTGAGATCTCTGGACTTGATGTCATCCGTGAAAGGAGGGGATGGCGCAGATGTTGGGGTCCTCTCCAGGTGCGGACTTGATAAGCTAAGTGTGCACAGTCTTCCCCCTCCCACACTATGAGACCATGACCTGAGGCAGGCCCCTGGGCTCCCTGCTCCCCACAAGTTTCTGGAGAGCCGACGCAGCCTCGTCCCTCTCCTGTCGCCTCTCCCGTCCCGGGCCCTTCCCTGCCCCCAGACTGTACCCAGCTTTAATTATCGTACTCTCCAAGTTAAAAAAACAAACGCAATGAAAACTAGGACTAAGTCAGACAGCAGGGCGGTAAGTGGAAGAACAGAAGGCACACCGCTGTCATTAGCCCCCCCACTCCCAAATTGTTCCAGATTCTGAACAGATGCAAAATCCCAGTCACTACTAAGTAAATAGCCAAAAGGTGGGAATAATGCATAAGAAACTTAAAACTCTTAAGTCTTCAAAAGACTGCTTTCTGTAGCTTTTCTTTGACCTATTTGCTGTTCTTCTTCTAGTCACTTACAATGTATGGTACCAACAGCCGGGTGAGAGGGACAGAGGAGCCGAGTAAGAATATGATCGGGGACCCGTCCCTCAGTTCTGCATGGCCTAGGTGTGAAATCATCAGCATTTTAATCTCAGGAGGCCTTGATTTACTAAGACAAAGTCAACAAACAAACAAAAACCCCCAAAGTATGATTCAGATCAGCGTCTTGAAAACTTTTTCCACCCAAATGAGCCCTGAATGTAACATCCAGCAATAAATTCTCAACCCTGTTGTCTACCTAAGCATTACCTAGTAAGTTACTGCACCAGTGATAGGAACAAACTGAAAATAAAATCCATTAAAAACACCAACCGGCACAGAGCCTAACCAAACCAAAATTAGGCTCCCCGTAGATTTTTGGTGAATCAATTAAAAACGGCACCTTGGCGCTGACGTTCCTGAAGTGTCTTCAGGTTTTAGGGCATGGAAGAGTATGAAATAACCAGTATTACTTCCATGCTGTGATTACTCACAACACCAAAGAAATCTGCCACTAAATTTAACTTACTAATAAGTTTGTGAACACAAGGCAGCGAATACTACCTTGGGAAATCCACAATGTACACGTTGCCGTCCGAAACCTGCTGAAACCAGTTTCCTCAATGCACTTGGCCATAGGTCCACCCCCTCTGCCTCTTCTCCTGCTGCCCTGCCCCCCCCCCCCCCCCCCCCCCCCCGCTCACTGGTATTTCTGGGTTTAAGGAGCACATCTGGAGGAATGGTGTATACTTGATTCAAAGGTTTCTTCAAGCTCCGGCTCTTTTCTGCGTCCTTCCTAACTTTCATCATCATCATTTTCTTTTAGTGGTAGAAGAAATACTACCAGGACCCCTGTCTGCTTTCTCTGTTGTGCTGCCTATGTCCCACAGTATCATGAACACGTTGAGATGCAACAGCCTGAGAATTTCTGAGCACGCAAAGTTGTCAGTGGATGTTCACAACTTCCCTCTTACTGTAAGTGGCATAAAGTATCTTATCGTGTGCCTGTTTCCCACACATCTGTGAGTTGTGAAAAGGTACTGAATATATGACATCCACTTAAAGGAAATTAATTAAACTCTGCCTTAGTGTGGATAGGCACTTTCCTTTAAGGACAATGCCAAAAATGTCACCCTGAGCTAACACTGCTTAAAATATTACAATTTAATTTTGTGGAAAGGGTCAGCAAGCGGTAGGGAATCAGGGTGCCCAGGCATGTAGATATTCTAATTGCCCGAGACTCTTATTAGTTATATGAAATAAAGACAATTCATCATTTAACTTTCTGTTAGAAATAATTTTGCCATTAAAAATAGCCCCGGAATATGGTACAATCTTGCAGAATTGAAAACGGTAATGTTCATAAAAAGGGGGGGAGGGCTCACTTCCTGTCCAAGTTTACTAAAACGGGTACCTTGGCAAGTTTTTTGTCTAGGTGTTGTCAAGTAAGAACATATTTATCTGAAACCTACGGTGCAGAAAAGGGACAAGGGAAAAATAAAGTTCCAAGGAGGGGAAAGAGGAGGAAAAGGTGAGAAGAAGAAAAACTTAACATCAGCTTTCAAACACCACGGGTGGACTTGTAGATATCTGTCCCATGGGACAAAATAAGTGAAACGGGGGCAGATGAAAACCACATTATGAAATGGAAAGTTTGGTGAAATCACTGCTCAGTATTACAGAAGGTGCAAGGAGGGATGGGAACACACCCTTCATGTCGTTGAAGAAATCTGTGTCCTGGGACAGGCCCCTGGATTAAGCAGTGGAGGTAGTGGACAGAAGACAAACACGGTTTGATCCAGATTAATTTCCAAAGCAAAGCGTGAAAGCAAACGGCTTAGACATGACGGCATGCAGGGGGGCGAAAGTCCCCAGACGGTTTCTTAGTGCTAAGCCTAGAGCATTTTCAGGGCTGGTCAGACCCTGGGGAGCAGCCCCTGGACACCACGGTTGCTTACTTACTCTGCGGCTCCTCCTCCTCACCACTGGAATGAGAAGAGCCGAGAGAAAAGAGAGTTTTAGACTTAAGGAGGAGCGGAGAGATGCTGACGGAGAAGGAGATCCGCCGTGACGGCTGCGGCTGCTGCTGGGCTGCTAAGTGGGTCAACGGGAGACGTTAGAACAGGCACAGATCACACCAGGACGAAGGCACAGGCACCACCAACCCAAGTGGGACAGAACGCCACTGGCCTGCAGGGTTCCCAGAAGGGCTGTCTAGACAAGCAATGCAATTTATTCACATGGTCATCTTTATTTCTGAATATATGGAATTCTAAGGCAGCTTAAAACTCATCCAACAAATATGTACTTGTTAGATTATAAAAAAAGGAGTGAATTATTTTTTTTTAGTATGTTTTTACTGATTTCTTTGAGAGAGAGAGGGAGAGAAACATCGATGTGACAGAGAAACATTGATCCGCCGCCTCCTGCACGCCCCCTACTGGGGATCGAGTGGCAGCCCAGGCATGTGCCCTGACCAGGAATCGAACTGGGACCTCTCAGTCCACGGGACGATACTCACTCCACGGGAGATACTCAGTCCACTGAGCCACGCCGGCCAGGCAAGAAGTAAATTATTTTTAATGGTCATAATTTATAGCTGGCATTATTTTCCCTTCAACGTAAAAACATCAGAAACAGTGTCATCCCTCAGGATTCTGCATCTGGCTCTCTTCCTCCTCACCCCAAATCTCCTCATTCCCTCTGATCTCTTAACTCGTCTGCACATAATATATACTGGTGACTTATGACTTCTACTTTCCAGCCAGATCTCTCCTTTGAGCTCAAGATTCATTCATCTCACTACTCACCTGTACGTGGGTGTCCCGTAGGCAACTCAAACGAAACCAGGACCTAAGTAAACTTATCTTGTCCTCCAGATCTGCTCCTCCTCCTTCATGGGGGGGAGGGAGTACCTGAATCTAATTCATTATTCAAAACTGAAATGTGGGCACCATCCCTGCTTGAATCCTTATGTCACATCTCAGTCCTTTTGATTTTGTCTTCTGGAATTTTCTGAACATCCACTTCTCTCCTCCTGCCACTGCTGTAGGCCCTGATTCAGGTCCCCAAATACTCTCATCTGAATCCTGGAATGGCCCCCACCGCTATGCCCGCCTCTCTTACCCAACACGCTCTTCATGACGTGTTCCATTCAATTGATCAGTAATGTGAACAACGTAAATCACTCCACTGCTCTTAGATGACAAGCCCAAGTCTCTCAGTCCATCTTTCCACATACTAATTCGCTCAGCAAATTCTTTTCTTTTGGTCTGAACTTCGGGGGCGCTTGACCAAATTTTTCTTCTGACATATCTGTCCATGTTATTTTCCAAATAACGTATTTGGAAAAGAAATGTATTCCGATGCGTTCTCATCCCACTGGCCACGGTTAGAAGAAGAGAGAAAAGTAGCAGAGAAAGTAGAGATGAAACATCCCCATCAGCACTGATGCCTGACTCTCTGGGGGCGCACGCGGATCTCTGGCCACATGGATTATTATCTGTTTAGATCTGGTGCGTATTACATATGAAAAGGGCACAGGTCAGCTCTCAAGACTGACTTTGCTTTCACAGTCTAATGCCAACTATTAAATTACAAGCCCGTGTTCCCATCGAGGCACACAGAAGGAACGTGGTCAATTGCCACAGGAGGAGTGAGGGTATCCGAATGATCAGGACAAGTGCCACTTGTGAACACCACTCTGATAACCATGCGACATGGAGGAGGAAATGAAATCTCATTCAAGAAGCCCGTGAAGTTAAAATATCTCAGGGGTACAGCTCTCCTTTGAACACTGCCACCAGTAATGTGTTAGAGTCCTTCCAGGGATACAATCAACGTGCTGGCTTCTCTACTGTTTGTAGGCATCTACTGGGCACAAGCAATGGAACCGTGTAAGGTTGAAACACTAAACTAGCCCTGGCCAGTTTGGCTCAGCAGTCAGAGTATTGGCCTGAGGGCCGAAGGGTCTCTGGTTTGATTCCGGTCAAGGGCACGGACCTGGGTTGCAGGTTTGACCCCCAGCCCTGGTCGAGGTCATGTGGGAGGCGACCAATCGATGTGTCTCTCTCATGTTGATGTTTCCCTCTCTCGGTCTCTCTTCTTCCCTCCCTCCCTCCGTTCCATTCTCTTTAAAGAGATCAGTGGGAAAATATCCTCGGGCGAGGAGTAACAAAAATAAACAATAAAATAAAATAAAAACGGAATTATTCCTTTAAGAAGCTTCTTCTTAAATCCCGTCTGGAAACGGTGCGCGTCTCCTGGCAGGCTGGGGGTCCCCACCCCATCCTCTCTGACGCAATGAGGAGGAACGCTGCAACACCCTTCCTGGGGCGGATTCTCCGAGGGCTGTCCTGCTGGAGTTTCCCACGCAGCACGGAGGGTCGCAGCCACTCTGCGTCTCGAACAGGAGCCGGCAAGATGCGTCCACCGCTGTTCTTCCATCAACACCGCAGATCGGAGCTAGGAAGCTCTCCCACCCATTGTGGTCCCTCAATCAGTTGCCGCCCGTCTGATTTTCCATCCCACGAAATGATGCGGAAATATCTTAGTCACCGGCTGTACTCGGTGTCTCCCTCTGCATCAGTGGGTTTTTGCAACGGATCCCCGCTCAGGAATGAGGCTGGGAGTTTGTCTGTTTTTCTAATCTAGCAAACGATACAAGACCTTCCAGACGGCGGCTCGGTGAAGGTCCATTTTCAGAGATGTCTGAATGTGAAAGACCGTGGGGGAAGCAGCTCATTTCTTTCTTTCTTCTTTTTTATTTTATTTTTTTGTTACTCCTCACCCGAGGACATTTTTCCATTGATTATTCTAGATAGACTGGAAGTGAGGGAAATTACGATGGAGAGAAAGAGAGGCATCAATTGGTTGCCTCCCGCATGACCCCGACCAAGGCCAGAGATCGAACCTGCAACCCAGGTACGTGCCCTTGACCTGGAATTGAACCCGCAACACCTTGGTCCATGGGCCGATGCTCTAACCACTGAGCAAACTGGCCAAGGTAGCTCCTAATTTCTTTAAAGGAAGAAGACAGAACACAGGCAGAAGCTGAAAAGTAATGAGAGAAGGCTGATTTCAGAAAGTATTTTGTCCCTCGACAAGCGTGTTCGTTAGACAAAATCATTTTCCCACTTAAAGAAAATGAGGGACAATGTCCTAGTTTAACATCGCTGAAACTATACTCAGAGAAAAATGGACCTGCGCTCCGTTCTGGGCACTGGGAACTAACTCCATAACGCTAACAAGAACTTGTCATAAGCCGGAGAATATGCTAAGGACTTTAAAATAAAGTCACAGTTAAGCCTTATCATATTATTATCCCTGTCTAACAGTTCAAATAATTGAGGCAGAGTTTTAGTATCTATCTAGCCCAAGGTGCAACAGCCACTAGGTGTACCAAACGTTCGGGCTACACAGTCACTGTGTAGGTATTACTGATGACAGTCTCAGCTAGGACCATGACCAAAGATGGGTCATGAGATCTGGAACCGAAGCTCTGCGTCTGTAGGCAACTGAGAACTCTCGGCTGTCCTGATGCCTCGAGGCACAGCACAGGGAACAGAAGTTCCGGTGGTCTGTTCGACAGCCAGGACTGTTCCATCTACCACAGAATGCATCATGTTTCTGGTGCAGAACAGAAAATATAGTTGGGAAAACTAACTGTGCAAGGGGAGGGAGTAAGGAGAAATAAGTGACTGAGCTCCAGTTACAGCACATGCTGGCTCAGGGAAGTGGGGCCAGTCAACCAACTTGCGACCTCCCCTCCAAACCTGCTGAGATGTACGCTACCCATCAGAAAGAGGGCACCCTGTTCTAATGAAAGGATTGAACCCTCGCTGAAAGCTGCACCCTGACAGCGGTCAGTCCCCCAGGGAGCTGAGGAGAAGCGTCCCCAGGAACGAGCAGCAAGCATCTCTGGACTCGAGGTCGGAGTTCCGTGGGAGCTCCCTGCGTCATGTACGGTGCTGGGCCAGCAACTGAGAACACAGGAAAAAGCCATCTGGCATTTTGGGGGAGGAAATAATGAAGTGTTTCATGCATGAGGCAAGAGAGCGCTTGTCAAAAATATAGGAGAAAGGCCTCTCTGTGGGACACATTCTGTCACTGTGGGGTATCCGCTCCACCGGTCACCACGCTAGTCCAGGAAGGAGGGTACACAGAGCTGACATGTCTCACTCAAGGGTGCTTTCCGCTCTGTCTCCGGCACTACAGGCTCATCAAATCCACTATCAACCATTACTAAATATACTAATTTTCATCCGATGTCAACAAAACCTCTGATCCAGAGCCAAATCAAAGCAAAACCCCAACAAAGGCGGGAAAAGCCGTTTCTGTTACAGTTCTATGTACACCTGTAGCTCTGAGAATAAGTCACGTTAGGCACCTTTCCAAACAGGCCAGGCTGGTATTTGAAGCAGTAATCGTATGTATCTGTACATCAAGCTCTCACTGACTACTCACGGGAAAAAAAATATCAGTGTTTTAAAAATAATACAAAAAAGTGAGTTTTGTTTTTTTTCCCACAAAGAACAAGCTGCCTTTCTGGGACAAACATTGGGATCCAATGTAAATGTCTTCGAGTATCTTTCATTTGAAAATGTCCTGTGCTCATGGAAGCCAGAGAGCTCTCTATAACTTCAGTCAATGGACCCTGGACTTCATGCACTTGCATTAATCAGTTTCACACGTAATCCCCTTAGCACTCACTTAACCAAAACCCTATCTCAGTCTTTCTTTGTCCTTCACGAACTTGACCTTGTTGAAGAGCTCAGGAAAATAACAGTGGATAAAATTTGTGGAATAGTACTGCAGTAAAACAAGAACATCCTTGAGACATAAGAGCATCAAGTCTCTTAACATTTGGGGACTCCAAGCAAACACAATTGGTCATTCTTTGTATTGTTTTTGCAATTAATTTTAAAGCCTAAAAACTATTTCCAACTAAGTTTTAAAAAATGTGTCAGGGTCAGGCCGCCACATATAATAAATTTAAAGTATCAGGGAGATATTTAATTAGTAAGAGGAGAATGATCACAAAGCTGAAATCCACTTCACCTTTTCTGTTTAAATGACGAGCCAGTCATTCAGAGGAAGAGGCAAGCAAATTTTGGGAGTTAATATTACAGGGTCTGAGAGTGAGAAAAATGACAGAAAGAGTTTTAAATACATTTAAAATTTTAACGAAGTAATATACTCACTGTCCAACCCAGGATGGCTGATGGTCATTAATGAGACGGATTTTGTCAACGTAGAAGAAATGGCTGATGTACAGTAATTGAATCCCTGCTGTTTAGATCTGTGACATGTCTGTAAAGGAAAGAGAAGGGAAGAAATTCATGCTCTTGTATTCTTGATGAGCACGAAACTTTACATTCTGCAGTCAGACAGACTTGGACCGAAGCCAGACCTTGCCTGCCACTTACCAGCTGCTCAACTGCAGAGAAGTTACTCAGCTTTTCTGAGCCTGTTTTCTTATCTGTACACTGGGGATAATTAGAGTATGCACCCTTTACAGTGGTTTCCTACCCCTGACAATAATTAACACCGTTTCAAACTTAGTAAGTGTTTAATTAACATCGGCTGAATGCATAATCAAATAAAATAATTTCACTAGAAATATCAAACTACATACGGTTCTTGTTCTTTGAAAATCTACTCTCTCTTATAGAAGTATAGTAATGATGCTCTGATCTTAAAGAGGGAGAAACAGAGGAGCAAGTAAGAAGGTTTCAGGATGACAAGCAAAGCAGCCCCGTGTCTGGAAAGAAAACTGAATGTCTTTCACTTCCTCTTCTAAGATCGGACTGCTTCTCTACACAAGGGTGATGGAAACTCAATCAATTTAACTCCCTCCAAAAATTCAGAGGCTTCAAGGCCTTGTAATCCAACCAACTGCAGAAATTCCTGCAACATTGGCCCTGAAATAGTCAGTGGTAACCAGCACACTCCTGTTGTTTGGAGAGCCCATTAATTGTGAACGAACAACTATGAAAAGTCCCTTGCCGTCGTGGGAGGCTGAAATCTGCCTCCTTCTGACTTGCAGGGGGTGGTGGAATGAAAACCCGTTACTAGCATGAACTCCACCCGCCTGCGCTCAGGACTTCTGATTATTTAGAGCTTGTTTCCTGTGTAACCATGGAGTCTGAGGCACAGTTGCTATGTTTCCAATACAACTGTGAGGTCTGAAAAATGACCTCAGGGCAAGGCAGAGACTTTCAACAGGAAGTTGGCTGCAGGCAACTCCTCCAGATTGGAGATGCAGACAGCTTGGATATTCACTCTGAGGTTGCACAGCAGATGAAAAACTGGAGGTTCGCAGAGTTCCAGGAAGGCCAGGCGCAGCTGGCCTCCTTGAGGCCTTCGATTTGATCTTCATTAGGCCTAAATTCTCATAGGCTTTCACATGGCCATAAGCAACACCTTCATTACTGCCTCCTGGTGCCAGATTTATATTTGGTCACATCACTGCTATGTAGTAGGATGTAATAAAAATTAAATGTCTACACAAAACCTCAGACACCTTTTCAAAGTACAGGCTGTTCCATATTTGTGTTTGCTTGCTGAATTAGAAAAGTTTTGGGGGTGGGAGGAGGTAGAAGAGGGTAAAGGGGGGATAAATAGTGATGGAAAGAGATGACATAGGTGGTGAACATACAACACTTATATATAGATAATATAATTGTATTAACCAATGTCACCCCAATATATATTCAACAACAAAAAAGAGATGTTCCACTATATTTTTACCTAAAATTCCAGTCACCTATTCAGACAGGTGTTAACCTTTTTTGTTTGTTTAGTTAGAAATGTTTCACATGACCCGACCAGGGTGGCTCAGTGGTTGAGCATCGACCCACGCACCAAGAGGTCGCTGGTTCGATTCCCGGTCAGGGCACATGCCCAGGTTGTGGGCCTGATCCCCAGTGGGGGGCATGCAGGAGGCGGCCAGTCTATGTTCTCTCTCATCAGTGTTTCTCTCTCTCTCTCCCTCTCCCTCTAAAAATCAATTAAAAAAAAACAAAAAAACCCAAAATGTTACATTTGCATATATATCCTGAAATGCTCTCAGAAATTAATCCAAAGTCTCCTTTGCCCAAGAGGAGGAAGCGGGGGCGGGGCGGGGATGTTGGAAAAGCGTATCATTCAAATTCTCAACTCAAAAACTCCCCAAGGGGGTGTCAGAAGTGCTAAGTGATAAGGAAGGGCTGGAGAAGACAGAACTGAGAAAAAGTCACTTGATTTGGTGACAGGGAAACTCATGGCCTTCAAGAGAGGACTTTCAGGAGTATGGACAGGAAGAGATCATTAGGGGTGAGGCTAAGACAGCAGGGAGTGTAGGTGCTATCGCAAGAACTGGCAGTGATAGGAAGGAGAGAGAGTGAACAGCCCTTTCCTAGAAAGGTGATGAGAAAGAGTAAGATTTGTTTGCCCGGGCTGGTGCGGCTCAGTGCATGGGCATTGTCCTGTGCACCAAAAGGTCACAGTTCAATTCCCAGTCAGGTACATGCCGGGGCTGCAGGCTCCATCCCTGGTAAGGGGCACGCAGGAGGCAGCCAATCGATGTTACACTCTCACATCAATGTTCCCTCTCTCTCCCTTTCTCTATCTCTAAAAATCAATAAACTATTATTTAAAAAAAAAAAAGTAAGATTTTTTTTTTGTCCTAGGAAAGAGAAACTTGAGATGTCTATGAAAATTGGGAAATTCAATAATGGTATGTGAAACCCTTCAAAACTCATTTGACTATTAGGGGGGTAAAAGAAGGAGAAAGACAATTTAATGTCCTAGGTACTTTGCTAATTAAAAATAAAAGTTGCTTTGGTGGAGTATTTAAATCTATGCGGATTACTAATATTCTTTAATTGGCATTAAGTGCTAAAAACCTGTTTTGTGCTAGACTGAGTTTACTATGGGTAAGTAACTGTCGCTGTTGGCCTCAGATTAACGGACTACTGCCTTCGTTGTTTGTAGTGTAAGGACACAGTGAGGGAAACGAAATTAAGGCTTTCCAAACTAGCATCATCTCTGCCTTTCAACCTTACCTGATGACCAAACATCCTGTGTTCTCTCTGGCCCGATTCCAGATCCTCTTCTGACAGTGACACCAAAGAGTCACCTCGCTCCTCACCACTGAAAGGGTGCCTGAGCTCTTTGGTGTTTGCAGAGCTGACCTCCAGGGATGAGGGGGGCTGGTTCCCCACACCAGCTCCTCCAGCCAAGCCTTCTAGGCTGAAACTGAACACAGAGCACAAGAGTTAACTCCCTCGATTTCCGAGTCTCTGAAAGAAAGGAGGATACAAAGCCCTTTCGTGCGATCTCTCTTGCTCACGTGTTATTTCTACGTCAAGTAGCAAGGCTGCCTATGAGGCCCAGCACAGATGAGCACCCCCGAGCTCCCCCCTCAGGTCTCGGAGTGCTGAGGAAGAACACACCACTTAGACTGTCTTACCTCGGTCAACCTGTTCACACGATGAACCGTCTAAGGTCATCTTCTGATTTCCCCCCCCCCCCAATATATCATATGGACAGACCATATGCCTTTACTGATTTTTTATTTATGATTTGTCCCTTGCTTTTTGCACGAATCTAGCTCTGCTAATGCCAAATAGTTAAATGGCACAGAGAAAAATGAGCATAAGTAACTTTCAGAAGACACATGAAGAGACAGACTTGCCCGACTCCATTAGGTCGACCTTTGTAACTTGACGTTCAACTACAGTCTCGCTGAGCTTTCTAGCTTCATAGGTGAGCATCCACCCCAGGAAACCCACGTGGTACCCATTAGCATTATTGTCTGTGCACATCTGGACAACAACTGCTTGACACACTTCCTGAGGACTGTTAGTTGCAGACAGGCACACAGGACACCTTGAAGAACAAAAGCTGAAAAGCTATTAGGTCTAAAAGTTCTAACTTTTTGTCCTGATATTGACCAAGGAGAGAAAAAAAGGCCAAGTTCGGGTTTCGTAGCCAAACTGGGATCCCTGGATTAAAGAATGTTGTGGTTTGCAGAGTAAAAACCTCTTTCTATAAGCAGGTGGCCATAGAGAGAGGGTAGCCTCTAACCTCATTGGGGTTGGCTGGCCAGAATAACTCACGTTACAACTACAAGGAAGGCTTCTTTAAAACAAACAAGATCTCAAAATATAGCTGTAGCTGGACGTGTCCTCAGTTACGAGCAGATGAGCTGTGTTCGAAGGGATACTGAAGCTGTTTCGTTATTTCTGCTCAAACCGGACAGTTAATTGCTACCAACGATTCACAAATGGCAGTCCAGAAAGGCTTGTATTTGTTTTTTTGTTTCACAAATTACTTACTATGAACTGAAACCATATGTCTCTATTTTCTCTAGTGGGTGAATTAAACAATGGATTTGGTTTTCCTTATTTCAATATGACAATAGAAATCATGACTGAACTATAAGTAATGTTGCTGTAAAAGTCATCTTTAATCCCGGGGATAAGAAGACAGGCAAACGAAGAAGAAATTTAGTTTTCTATTGCGAATGATTTGTAAAAGCCTGAGAAAACCAGACCTACGATCGCCACAAAACGTAAGCCTGAAAATGTCTGAGTCATTAAATCCGACTGCTTAGTAGAGAGAACATCGAACGAGGAGCCGTCAATTTGGACTCGAAAGCTATTGGTGGGTTTGGTAGCATAACAGAAGTAAGGGCATCTCAGGAGCTGCGTTGCTTCTGTATTGCTTTCCTCGGGATGAGGGAATTCCCAGGATCGGGGAACGAGGCCAGATCAACACAAAAAGAGACGTGTTCTCGCATTACCATGGAGACACGTCTGCAGAAAACACCAATCTACAGCCCCGGAGACAAAGAGGATGCGCCAAGGTACACCATCCGACTCCTGGGCTGTGCCCCGTCAACCGGATTAGGGATGCTGACAGCAGAGGCAACGGAACAGTGGGCTCGCAGACCAAGCAGGCGCCCCTCCGCCATCCAGCCACAGAGAAGCCAGTCCAAGCCAAAAGCCCACGCGCCACGCTGTGTGACCCCCCTCCGGCCGGACACACGACGATTCCATACCTTCTGTAGTTAAAGTCAGCACCCAGGGCAGCAGAATACTGCACACCAGAGGGACACCAGCTCATACTAGGGGTGACGCCAGACACAGAGACAGAATTGGAGGGAGAAAAGATGAAACAGGGATGAGGTTACTGGGTTTAAAAAGAAAGGGCACAGTTACAGACAGATGGATCGATCTGAACATCAAAACATTAGAAACGCAACACTGATTTAGAAAAAGGCTGGAATAAAAACCACGGGAGCTTTGAGAATGTGTTCTACTGATGTTTGGCTAGGTGATGTGTTGGAAATGACTCTGTGAGCTCCTTACAGGATAACAAATCCAATGGGAAACCAAGTTCCTTCTAGACAACCCTGACGAAGAACCCCCTTGAGGCTTCCTGTGCCCGCATCCTCTGGGGGTGTTTCTCCATGACTGGGACAGTCTCTGCGTATACGCCCCTGTTCCCACCTCTCTCTCACCACAGCATCTCGGAACCTTAGCTGGAGGGAACAATGACAGGCCACACTGTGGCGGCAGGCTCACTGAGTCATTGGTTTCCTCGTGTGCTGTTAGTAAGGATCCCTCTAAGCTGGACAATTCATAAATCTGTCATAATGACGACACCCAGTCAAGACTCAAATCCCTTTTCAAACCCCCTCTCCAGGTTCTCATGGTAAAAATAAGGCATATGGCAATGGTCACTTTTGCTTGCGTTTTAATAATGAAGGGATTCATTTCATTTTTTTTTTTAAAGCAATTCTATCATACTCAGAAACTTGTCTTTTGAATTTCCATACAAAAATTTTAAACTTCATTTATTGGTTCATCGACTTCCTCGACTATCCTCAGCCCTGATATTTACAGCAGCCGGGACAGAAAATGCGGAGTTGGAAAAGCTAAATAACTATAGCCAGCTAAAAAAAATAACCCATTCAGAGTGTCAGTTACTCTGTAAAGAGAACTGCATCAAGAGGTCAAGACTTTTGATTAACACAAACTATCTTTTAAAAATAAACTGCTATAATTTGGGCCCCAAAGTTCTACAGTGACCTGCCTTTGTTTTCACGAGGGGGACAGCAAGAAAAATTACGCAGCTCCCTCCTGAACCCTGGAAATGGGAAGCCAGCAGACACCAAAAGCCCGACTATCTTGAATACAATAAATGTCCCCCTTATCCGTGGTTTTGTTTTCTAAGGTTTCAGCTAACCAGGGTCTAAAAATATGAAGTGGAGACTTCCAGAAATAAACAAATAATAAGTTTTAAAGTATGTGGCTGTCTGGGTAGTGCGACAAAATCTCACACCATCCCACTCCATCACCCCGGGAGGTGAATCATCCCCTCATCCAGATTCCCCAAGCTGTTTCGTTCCCCGCCTCTTAGTCAATTACTTAGCAGCCGTCGCGACAGTTAGACCGACTGTCTAGGTATCACAGTGCCCGTGTTCAAGTTACCCTGATTTTACTTAACAATGGCCTCAAAAACCTTCTCACAATACAGTATGGTGTTATAATTGTTCTATTTTATGAGTTTGTGTAATTACTCTCTTACTGTGCCTAAGTTATAAATTAAACTTTATCATAGGTGTGCACAGGAAAAAATAGTATATACAGGGCTTGGTACTATGCACAGTCTTAGACATCCATGGAAGGTCTTGGAACACATCCCAGGATATAAGGGAGCATCCACTCCACACCTAACAACCTTCTTTTGTTGACAAATGGGTGTTTTTGAGAGGGGAGGAGACGAGGAAAATGGTGAGAGAATAAATATTAAGAGCTACCCCCCTAAGGCTTTTCTAAAAGTAAAAAGCTTTAAGGTCATTTTAAAATACTTTAAATGATAAAACATCTTGAATCGGATTAAATTAGCAGTATAGAGGTCTCAAGTGCAGGAGGAGAGAGTTGAAACACACAGAGAGGCACGTCTGTCGTCTGGAAGGCGAGATCAGACTGACCAACACAATTCGCTGTGTGTGCAGACAGAAGCCTTGATGTGTTTTCAAGCACACGTGAGACTCAGAAGTCCATTCTTTTTATTTATTTTTTATCCTCACCCAAGGACATTTTTCCATTTGTTTATTCAGATAGAGCAGGAGGGAGACAGAGGAAGAGAGAGAGAGAAACATCGATGTGAAAGGGACACACTGAGTGGCTGCCTCCTGCACGACCAACCAGGGCCGGGGACAAACTGCAACCGACATACATGCCCTTAGCGGGAACCAAACCCAGGTCTCTCTGGACCGCAGGCCGACACTCTAACCGCTGAGCCAAACTGGCCAGGGCAGAAGTCCATTCTTTAAAATGATTACCTTCACTGTAAATCTCCAAACTGTTAATACAAAGGCATATTATATCTAAATAGCTAACTTCGTATTAAAAACAGAATGTGGTTAAATCAGGAAGTGAATATACATTGGCAAATTATAAATTACAGGAACAATTTTATTATATAAAAGTAATCTCCTTCTACAGATTCAAACATCCCTTTCCTCTCAGAAATGGTATGTGAGAGACTGGGATAAAATTTAAGACGAAGGGAATGAAGACAGAAAGAGGGACATGCTTTGCCAAGGACCCAGGAAGTCACAGATGGTCCCGCAGTAGCAGAAAACGCCTTGCACAACAAAGAGTATTTTTTAGAACATCCTACTGTCCCCAATTCCTGTTAGTGGGGGGTAACATGGAATGGTTCTTGGGCTTTGTTTTCAAATTTAGAGAGTTCTGGATTAAAAACAAAACTAACCTTCTCCCCTACCTTTTAATACTTGTTGGAATGTTTCAACTAGTTAAGGCTTAACACAAAATTTAAAAGTACGCCTCTTCTTCTTCCTACAGAATTAAGGGTGCAGCGGTCACTGGAGTGGCTGGTCGCCTGCATCTCTGTGCTGACTAGGATGGCATCCAGCAACTTGCTACCTTCCAGGGTCATCAAGTGAACAGTTTTAATAAGTTGATATTAAAGAGTTGCCAGCCCTGGCCGGTTTGGCTCAGCGGTTAAAGCGTCATCGGTCTACGGTCCCGAGAGACCCGAGTTCGGTTCCCGCTAAGGGCATGTACCTCGGTTGCAGTTTGTCCCCGGCCCTGGTTTGTCGTGTGGGTGGCAGCCACTCGATGTGTCCCTTTAATGTTGATGTTTCTCTCTCTTTCGCTTCCTCTCTCTCCCTCCCACTCTATCTGAACAAAAAATGGAAAAATGTCCTCGGGTGAGGATAAACAAAAACAAAACAAAAAAAAAAGTGTTGAAAATACTTTAGGGCCTTAATTTAATATTTTTACATTTTGTATTAAGCACACATTCCTGGTTCTCCACCCCCCCTTCTTTTTTGGAAAGAAAGAAAAGGTCCCAACCTAGGGTCCATTAGAGAAGCACAATGTAAACATTTCTTCGAATTCTTCTGGAGAAAGTTGGGGGGACCATATCTATGATCAAAACTTCAGATTCAAGAAACCAGTGAAGTATCTATATGTTATTTGCCTGAAGCTGATGTAACAGTATTTAAAAACAGCGCTTTAATCATGGAATAAGCGGAAGAATGAGATGCGTGTTAGTATATGCTCGGAGGCGACACGGTTAGTCCAACAAGTTAGTGAACTCTGTACCTTCTCCTATGAATGGGAGGCCTCCTGACAACATCCCCGAGAACGCGCATTGAACTGAAAATGAATGGTGGGAGAGGTCAGTGCCGAGGTGAAACAAATGGATACAAACACATGAAACATACAGACATCACACTGGGAAGAGACACAATCCCCAAAGAGAAACAGTACAGGAAGGAGGGGGATGAAGGACTATGGAATGAACAACATATCAGAGGCAAAAGAGTCTGAGGAGGGCTACTTTGCTCCCAGGTTCAGTAAATGCTAAAAGTAAAAGGATCAGAAAAAAAGAAAGGCCATTCAAAACATTCTAAAGGTTTTCTTAACCCTTGAAAAGTCAGGTTACACTGAATGCAGGCAATACCGTAAGAGTTAGTCAGATTAATTAAAGGGATACCTGACTCTCATCCCATTATCTCCAGAGGTATGGGGACAGTGGTTCTGGGTAATCCTTAATGCTAAGGTCAAATAGGAGATTCCACGACATTAATGGGTTGCAAATATAAATAACTTAGGTTCTACTTTTAGATCAGCGAAAAGATCATTATTTAATCTTGAGCAAATCCTTTAATCTGAGCTTCAATTTCCTCATCTGACTTAAATGATCCATAAAGTCCCATCTGTCTCTTAAATCAAGGTTATGGCAAAGGGACCCTTAGTGGGTTATTAAGGAAAATGGTTTCTATATAAAATAAACTTTCATGTCTTGACACGATTATCATCTAAGACAAGTATGTCCTTCTGTAAGTATTTTTCTCTACACCCTTATTTTTTGTATTGGTATGAATGCTTCAAAGACAACAACAACAACAAAAAAGAAGCCCTGGCCAGTTTGGCTCAGCGGTTAGAGGTCGGCCTGCGGTCCAGAGAGACCCGGGTTCAGTTCCCGCTAAGGGCACGTACTTCGGTTGCAGTTTGTCCCCGGCCCTGGTTGGTCGTGCGGGTGGCAGCCACTCGATGTGTCCCTTCACGTCGATGTTTCTCTCTCTCTCTCTCTCCCTTCCTCTTTCTCCCTCCCACTCTATCTGTACGAAAAAAAAATGGAAAAATATCCTCGGGTGAGGATAAAAAAAAAAAGAAGAAGAAGAAAAAATATAGCATGAATAAAGCCCCAAAAATAAACTTATAGAAATTGCTATTTACATCATTTTGGTATTCTAACGTATACAAAAACTATGCAGCAAATAAAGCAAGTCCTTATATATTCTTTAAATATCTGAAGATTCATAATGACCTGTAATTTATTTATTTGTTCTTTACTGATTTTAGAGAGAGAGGAAGGGAGAGGGAGAGAGATAGAAACATCGATGAGAGAGAACATCGACTGGCTGCCTCCTGCATGCCCCCCACAGGGGATCGGGCCCACAACCTGGGCATGCGCCCTGACTGGGAATCGAACCGGCGACCTGTTGGTGCAGGGTCGACGCTCAGCCACTGAGCCACACTGGCCGGGCGCAAGTCCTTCTTGTTAAGACAAGCATCTGCAGTCCCCCCAAGCGTCATAGGGAATTACACAGTGAGCACTTGCCTAGGAGACCAGAAGGCAGGACTCTACTGACCTTGGGCAGGTGACAAACTAAGTGCACTAGTCCCAGCTGCAAAAATGGGGGTGACACTGCCTGACTCCCGAAGAACATTGGAAAATTACATGAGATGATCTGTTATTAAAGGAGTCGGGAAAGAGAAGCAAGTTAGGAAAGTGGAAGGCACTGTCTGAGCTCCGTGAAGCCGGGAACTGTCTCGTTCACCTCTGTGCATCCACAACCTAGAAATCCTGGCAGGTGGTTGAATAAAGGGAGGAGTGAGTGACGTCATCCGATTACATGTACGTACAGCTAGGAAAACAGACCCACAGTATTATAAGGAAGTCAAGAGTTTTTTCTTTCAAAAAAAAAAGGAAAAAAACACAGTAATTGCTCTAGTGAGGTTGTTTGTGTAAACTGTTTTAAAACAACTGTCAGGCCCTGGCCGGTTTGGCTCAGAAGTTGGGAGCGTCGGCCTGCGGTCCAGAGAGACCCGGGTTCGGTTCCCGCTAAGGGCGCATACCTCGGTTGCAGTTTGTCCCCGGCCCTGGTTGCGTAGTGCAGGCGGCAGCCACTCGATGTGTCCCTTTCACGTCGATGTTTCTCTCTCTCTCTCCCTCCTACTCTATCTGAACAAAAAATGGAAAAATATCCTCGGGTGAGGATAAAAAAAAAGTGGCTTTGGAGGAAGCATGAAGGAGGGACATCTGGAATTTAAAAAAAAAATTTATAAAGCATTAAAAATAATAAAAAATAAATAAAACCATCCGCTTAAATTTACATAGGCAGCCAAGGGTCAGAAGCCAAATACAATGTGTCTTCTTGCAGACTGCTTCCAAACCGAGGTCTGAAGGTCTGCGACGGGCCACACTGACGACAGTGCCCAGAGACCAGCTGACATGCGCGAAAACAGCAGCGATTTAATGAGATTCCATGATTCTGATAGTCTCTGAGGATTAAATACTAACGATCGAGGCTCTGTTACAACTTTCTGCATTAGGCACAGAGAGCGACTCCTGAAAAGTGCTTTTACCATTTAGAAGTGTTCCAACGGTAAGATTTCGTGTTTATTTCTTAATTGAAAACTGAGAAACTATTCCCTCCAGTGTTTTCTAATCTATGCATTTCATGAACAAATGCAGCCTGAATAAATGTTACCCTTCACTAACATCTTCTGTGTGACAGACACGTTCACTCGTGGTGTTTATGGCTACAAGTAAGTACTCTAAAAGCAGAGATGAGAAAATCAAAGCTCAGAGAGGTCAAGTGACTTGCCCAAGGATGTCTACACAGAAAGGCCTAGAGCTGGAGTTTGAACAGTGGTTTCCCCGATTCCAAAACCTCTTTTGTTCTGCTGTGCCCCAGTAGAACAAAAGCTTTTGCCAATGATAAGCCCAAATCAGAAACTTCTCAAAAACAAGCAGAGAGAGAGATTAAACAGGCAACCTGGCAGCTCACCTCCGGTGGTTCATCTCGCCATCGCTGGCTGCATTCCTCCCGGGACCCCAGCTGTGCCTCCGGAAAGGGGACAGAGAGCGCATGGAGCCCCTCAGGACAGAGCAGCTGGCGGGCACGTCGGTGATGCTGTCCATTTCCTCCTCCTCCGCCTCACCTGAGCCAGCGGGTTCGTGCTGGCTCTCTCGCCCCTCGGCGCCCACCCCGTGGCTGTAGAAGCCATCGAGAGACTGCTGGTCTCTAGACCTGTGCAAAGTGGGTGTCTGGGAGAGGGACACATCACTGCCGTGAGAGGAATGTCGGTCCAGGGACGCCGTGTCGTCGGTGGAGGAACTGGATCCCGTGATGTCACAGACCGACTGCTCTTCCTCGGGCTGGAGGGGAGAAAGCACAAATGGTTGAGAAGCAGGGCCAAGGACAGAGTCTCCGTTGTCCCTGACCGAGCCCACGGCCTCTGGTGGGGAGGATGGGCAACACCACAATCGGCTTCAAATGGAGATTTCTTCTTTTATTTAATTGTTTTTTCTCTAGTGATTTTTAGAGGGAGAGGAAGAGAAAGAGAGAGGCATCAATAAGAGAGAACATCAATTGACTGCCTCCTGCATGCCCCTTACTGGGGATCGGGCCACAACCTGAGCATGTGCCCTGACCAGGAATCGAACCAGCGACCCCTTGGTGTGTGGTCTCCCTCAACCACACCGGCCGGGCCAAACAGAGATTTCTTTTTAAAAACATGATCACAGCTGGATTCATACAGCCTCCAGTAAAGGTGCCGTCAAGGGTCTATGCTCTTCCTACCCTCCTACTAGAGGTACTACACTAGAGGTACATTAATTTTTCCTTTCTTACAGAGAAAAACAAATCTAACTCAGATCAGTTCTTTCTGTCAATACGACCGACCGAAATGAAGGGAACCCTTATGTGTCTGGGTTTCTGCTGCATGAAATCTCCAAAGTCATGTCATATTAGGTCTATTTTTTTTTTCCCCACAAGCCTTAACTAAAATCAAGATTGTCTACTTAGCTGTAAGAATGATCTGAAGTTAATATTTCAAAAGCCGGTCTGTGATTGTTTTCAGTGGTCTTCTGAAAAAAATGTCAGTTTATGAGCCCACCTAAAGTCTGCCACAAATACCCAAATTCTGGCCGCAAATACTTAAATGCGAGAAATCTACTCTTATTTCTCACTTCATTGAGAACTAGCTGATGTTGTTAGACCAAACTGCACATAAAATAATCAGTCCCTCCCTGGCCGGTTTGGCTCAGCGGTTAGAGCAGCGGCCCGCAGACCAGAGAGTCCCGGGTTCGGTTCCCGCTAAGGGCACGTACCTCGGTTGCAGTTTGTCCCCGGCCCTGATGGGGTCATGTGAGTGGCAGCCACTCGATGTGTCTCTCTCACATCGATGTTTCTCTCTCTCTCTTCACCCCTCACTCCCTCCCGCTCTATCTGAAGATAAATGGAAAAATGTCCTCGGGTGAGAATAAAAAATAAAAATAAAAATAAAAAATAATCAGTCCTGGCAACCGAGTTTGATAAATGATGAGGGGGGACAAAAAAGGAATACGCCTTAAGCTCATAACACTTACTAAAAAGTGATAACATGTACCAGGAGGCAGACGGAATAGAAACATAAGGCTAAGGCAGAGCGTCCGTGACAAATGCTGGGCTGTTAAAGGGACCTCTGCGAGGCCAGTGACCCCGAGGGCTGCAGGACGCGACTTAATGCACACCCATCGTTCACAATAGCTTCCCTACAGATTCCACTTCAGAGAAGGGGGGAGGGGGCCGGAGCCTGGAGGGAAACTTCAGGACAGTCTGACGGCTCGCAGGTGTGTGGCCACCGCGAAAGACGTTTAAGTGACGGACGGGCCAGCCGTCTGCCACCGCTACACTTCCACATAAACCGGTGGCTGTTAAAGCAGGTACTGGGAGACTGAAAGCAAAATAAGAGAAAATAAACAGATCTCAGAGTCAGGTCTGGGCACACATCTCAATTCTGTCACCAGCTAAGTCATTGTGAGCAAACGTCTTTACCAGTCAGAGCCTCTGTTGTCTCAGGAGGGTGAGGAGAAAGCCACCCACCCACCTTACAGTTTTGCTGCGATCGTGAAATGAGGTCACACACGTAAAACAGTCAATTCAGTACCTAGAGCATAGTAGGTACTGTGTGGACATTAGTCTGTCTCTCTCCTTCTCCGTTCACATGTAAACCCTTGGTCGTAACAATGCCAGAGGAAACATTAACTGCGAAACCTCTCTTGGTTACACACTGGGGAGGGGACCTACAGAGAGGAGGCACCTCGTGGTCTCCGAGAGGACACCGGACACTGGCGAGTGCAGGCAGGATGAAGTGAAAAGTACACCATGTTACCGGTTGTCCTGAGGCACTTGGATGTGAAATGTAGGGAAGACCTAATTTGGGGAGTAAAAATTGTAGCTATGTAGCCATCCTGAAAAAACTGCTAAATCTAGCCACTGGCCACTGGTATGAACACTCATATGCATGCTTCTGGCGGCCTGAAAAGCCGGGAAAATGTAGGAAGTGCTAATTCTGCACAGCTAGGAAAATCATGCAATTCAGCGAGCAGAGATAACGATCGTCCTGCAGAGGTGACAACATCCAGGGGCCAGGTGTCACACACCGGGAGGCAGCAAGCATTTCTTAAGACTCCTCAATTTTTGAAAAGCTTTTTACTACGAAAATTTCCAAACATACAGCAATGTTTCACAAAACATGTACGTATCCATGACACCGTCCTGCGCTTGTTGATGATTCAAACTTAACGCTGGGACGTGGAGATCCTATCTCATCTAGCTCAGACCAAAGCGGCTGATTTCCAGAGACAAGCATCTCTAGAATGGCATTCCCCAGGGGGTGCTGGCCGGTGGGGGGGGATTTTAGAAGTGCTTAGAATGAAAACCTCAAAATCACAGTGGTACTGGCGCGAATTCTGGTTTTGTTTTTTAAATCCTACTGGTTTCCCTCTTTCTAGATAAATTCAAAGGAGGACAGACCTTCCCAGCGTGGGGATGTTCTACTTCCCAGCATCTCTTGGAGCGATGAGTCCGCTCTGAGTAGCAGTGATAGCTCCACAGACCTTTCCAAGGACCTCCAGAAGACAGTGAGCACACAGGAAGGGAGCAAGACGGGACAGGGCTTGGGAAGGCCAAATGGCCTGGACAAAAATGCAGGTGTCCATTCACAGAGGCTTAAATACATTCTGGGCCAGAACCCCGGAGGGCTACGCCTTCATTCTTCATCCTAACTTTGCAACCCAGCATCATCGCACGGTCCTGGAGAATGTGACCCCCATTAACACAACAGCTCCCGTCACTTCCCCAAGCCATCACGAACCCTTACAAAGGTGTTCTCACAGCCGCCACACCGGGCCCCCGCCCCCTCGTGCTGAGACAACACCTGTGGCACAGACTGAGTGCCACGCCAACCCCGCTGTGGGAAAGCCCGACAGTTTCTTAGGAAACAAAGCAGAACTCCCTGCAACTAGGTGCAAACATGAGCGAAAAAAAGCACACCGCCCCCACCCCCGCCCACTTAGAGGGCCTCAAATTATACTAAAAAAACACGAGGTGATTCATGTGGATGGGCTTGGCTCTTCAGAGAGAAAGCCTGGGCTCCCTAGCAGAGATCTAGAAAGTTCCAATTAAGCAGCCTGACGTCACCAAGCTCCACCGAGAGCTTCGGGCCTAAACACATTAATCAGAAATGAGTCTGTGGTTCGTGTACGCACATGACGTCATCCAGTCTGAGCTGCGGTCTTTCCCGCCCACTGAAAGGCACTCATTGTCATGTGATTCCATTCACTTCCATTCCCTTCGTCTTTCATGGGAGCGTTGAAACTTGCATGTAAGCCCTGGCCGGTTTGGCTCAGCGGTTAGAGCACTGACCTGCGGTCCAGAGAGACCCAGGTTCGGTTCCCACTAAGGGCACGTACCTCGGTTGCAGTTTGTCCCTGGCCCTGGTTGGGGTCGTGTGAGTGGCAACCAGTCGATGTGTCTCTCTCACATCGATGTTTCTCTCTCTCTCTTCCTCCTTCTCTCCCTCCTACTCTATCTGAAGATAAATGCAAAAATGACCTCAGGTGAGGATTAAAAAAAATAATAATAATAAAATAAAACTTCCATGTAAAAAAATAACTTGCATGTAACCCCCATGATTCTGCAGAAAATAAAGTGCCTACTGCCTTTGTTCTACGCCCCCAGAAACCTGGAGCGTCCCTCTGGAAGGGAACGTTGACAGTTCTCTAAGATCACGCGAGAGCTGGAGAGAAGCCCTGGGAGGCCGGGGTCACAGCTCAGCGGGGGCCCTGCGGTACCTTGGAGAAGACAGGGCTGTCCCCTTCTTCACTGGGGGAGTGGAAGAGGTCAGAATCACTCCCGGATTCTCTCTTGAGGACCCCTTGTTTGGGGGCACACTCCCCGACAAGTCCAACATCCAGGAAGTTCTCACATTCTGAAAGAGAAAAATGATTTAATCAGTATGTTTGGTTTTTTTTGTTTGTTTTTGTGGTACGTGCCCCTAGCAGGAACCGAACCCGGGACTCTCTGGTCCGCTAGCCAATGCTCAACCGCTGAGCCCAACTGGCCAGGGCGAATCAGTATTTTTGTGAAAATTCAGTTTCTTTTCATTCTAGCAACCAGACTGGAAGGCACAGGGCTTCACGGTAACCGGGATGCCAGTCAGTGGGTTGAGCCTCATCAACCAATGAGAGTTGTTTCACCAGAGGGGAGGGAGCACAGGCTGAACGACTGTGTCAGGAGTTTTCTGAGCCCTGGACGGTTTGGCACAGCGGTTGGAGCGTCGGCCTGCAGACCAGAGAGTCCTGGGTTCGGTTCCCACTAGGGGCACATACCACACACACACACACACACACACACACACAGTTTTCAGAAAAGGAGAGAAAGTGGAGATTGAATTAGATCCATCCTTGGACAATAACTGGATGTGTGTGCATGTGCACACCTTCAGAGACAGTGAAAAGAGAAAGCTGTTCTTATCTAAATTAAGTAATAACAGATCAGTGACAAATTACTTGCCCTGGATTAGCCAGGGATCTGAGAGGAAGGATCAAAGAGGCACCGCATTGGGAATAAGTCATGAATCGCCTGTCAATAAAATTACCTTTTCTATTAGTTAGGCATTTGACGATGTACCAGGGGATGTCCAAAAAATTTTTTTAAAAAAAGAGAGAGGGTTTTGTTTTGTGTGTGTGTGTGTGTGTGGGTGGGGTGGGGATTACAATCTTATATTGAAATGAACATATTAAGAGACCATTTCAACACAGAAGTACACGAAGGATTACCACAGGAAGTGAGGCCGGGCCCACAAACTGAGACCGAGCCCACAAACTAATCTGAAAATATTTCAGATGAAGACAAAATGACCTTAGTTTCTTTCGATCTTGGTGTCCAAACAGTTTCTGAAGGTGATATTTTGATGGAAAGAGCCCTGCCTTTGAAAAACTGGAAATCCCGCCCTAGTCAGTTTGGCTCAGCGGTTAGAGCATCGGCCTGCAGACCAGAGGGACCCGGGTTCGGTTCCCGCTAAGGGCACGTACCTCGGTTGCAGTTTGTCCCCGGCCCTGGTTGGGTCATGTGGGTGGCAGCCACTTAATATGTCCCTTTCATGTCGATGTTTCTCTCTCTCTCTTTGTCTTCCTCTCTCTCCCTCCCACTCTAACAAAATATCAAAAAGTGTCCTCGGGTGAGAATAAAAAAAAAAACAAAAAACTGGAAATCGTGGGTATTCTGGATTGCCCTCCCCACCCCCCGTACCACATTTCAGAGACTATGTGCTACCTTAGGTGGGCTGACGGGGGCGATCTTTCTACTTCCTCCCCTCTCCACAGGTGGGAAATAAGAACTGCTTTGCATGGGGAGGGGCGGGGGCTGGCCAGGAGGGGAAGGGCTCTCCCAGCCGCTCCGCTGAGCTCGGGTCTGAGCTGGGGTCGTCTAGCTGGCAGGCTCACACACCACGTCCAGCCCAGGCTGCAAACACCAGCTCGAGACACCGTGATGGAAAAGCCAGGGGGAGACCCGGCCTCTTCGGAACGCCCCCCCAGGAAGGAGCTCCCCGCGCCACCGGGACCACGGCCAAGCTCAGGATGAGTCTGGGGCGGGTGTGATGTTGACTATTGAGACGGGAGGAAGAGAAGCACATGGGGACACCGAAAAGGGGAGAGGACTTGAGCCACTAGGCAGCCTCCACCAGTGGGGGTGGGGCGGGGGGCTAAAGGCACAGCTAAGCTACACCCTAGCTCACATGTGTCGCTAAGCTTTCAAAATAAATTTAAAAAATCTTTCCTTTCTGCCTACATGACCCCTTCCTAGGGAATAAAATAGAGCAGCACATGAAGGTGTAAGAATGAGCAATGGCTTTACAGTTAGACCGAGGTGACTTAAATCAAGGTCTGACTACTTCTTAGCAGAAAGATCGCAGGCGAGAAGTCATCTCAGCCCGCTGAGCCTGCACTTCCACACCAGTGAAACGGGATGCTGAGCACCTCCCCAACATAGCTGGAGTGACAGTCAGGAATCAGCCACACGTCCAGCAAGCAGAACTCTGCGCTCCGCACACAGCCGGCATGGGGTAAACGCGCCTAATGAAGTTAAGGCTTCATTAACCCAGACTGTGATTCAATGAGCACCTAGTAAGGACATTACCTGGAGGCGGGCCAGACCTGTTTTATGACCCATATATAAATGTCAATAACTTTTGTGTCCTGAGCCATTAGCTTTTTAACAGCTAGCAAAACATGTACTTTTAAAGATGCTATCTAGTCATTTGGGTGTAAAATTATATGTATGCAAACAAATTATAGTCGGGGCAGCAGGGACAGCCCTCGCTGCTTTGCTGGATCATCCTAATCGTTGTGCTTATCTTGTATTTATTTATCCAGAAATTAGAATAATGTACGAAGTAATTTTAAAAGATATTCTCTCATTTGGTCTAACACTACCGCTGTCCTGAGCTGTGTCCATGAAGCAAAAGAAGGAAACCTATCTAGATTTCACCAAAAAAACTATGCCTGAGTCCTGGCTGGTTTGGCTCAGCGGTTAGAGCGTCGGCCTGCGGTCCGGAGAGACCCGGGTTCGGTTCCCGCTAAGGGCATGTACTTCAGTTGCAGTTTGTCCCTGGCCCTGGTTGGTTGTGCGGGTGGCAGCCACTCGATGTGTCCCTTCACGTCGATGTTTCTCACTCTCTCTCCCTTCCTCTTTCTCCCTCCCATTCTATCTCTACAAAAAATGGAAAAATATCCTCGGGTGAGGATAAAAAAAAAAAAAAAACTATGCCTGAGAAAAAACAAAACTCATGTCTGAAATTCGAAAGCATAATCCAGATCTTGGATTTTGTTAAACTGAAGTTTAAAAAAACACCAAAGGGGCTATGTTCGGGGCTGGAGTATGGAGGGGTCAACACAATTCAAGATTATGTCCTGGGGAAATGCTCAGGGGTTCAAAATTCATTTCTTTAAACCAGCACATTAGACTGCAGCACTTGGAGAACTGGACGGTGACTATTCAAATTGTGAGAAAACCTCGGTCAACCTTCACAGGACAGACAGTTCCATTGCCGGGGTGGTTGGGAGTAATTACACTCCTGGAAAAAGCCCCAGACAGTGTAAGGAATAAAATAAGTAGATCCTTTTAAGTAAAAGATTTCAGAGGGCTGGACGGGGGAAGTTTCTGCTGAATCTGTGAACAGGGTCACTCTTACTACATGTGAGACCCTAAACACAACTGCAGACTATTCATATCCTTTCCCCACTTCCTCCATGCGTGACAAAGGTAGAGAAAAACACTTTCCACGTTTGTTTCCAAAACATCCTTTGGAGTAAACTTGGAGAGCTGAGAACCAGTAGCAAACCCTCTGGAGATAGAGGATTTGAGTTCGTCTTTAAATTTAACACTACTGCAGGATGTCCACACCTAAACTGTTTCCAGAAAGAGCAGTAAATGAGGACTCGGTAATTTCTAAAGCACGTCATTAACATTTGGAAAGGTAGTAAGAAGTCTTTTGGGGGTAAAGTGGACCTAAAAGTGCAGAATGCAAGTAGCCAGTGTTCCCAGGGCGGCTGCAGGGACAGGCGACAGGACTGACAGTTGCTGACCACGGCATTCGGACAGCACCCCCCACACCCACCCCAGGGCTGAAAGCTAGTAATGCTTTGCAGATCAGAGACAACAGAGCACGGAGACATGAGGGAACATGTCTTCGTCACAGTGAATTAGTGGCTAAACCTGGGTCAACCGTTGGGACTTCTCACTAACCATAAGCCATGTGCTCTGTTATTACCAAGAAAGGGCTTAAGAGCATTTTACCCTCATTGGCTGTTACTAAGACCTCCTGGGTACTTAAGGAAAGACCCAATTCCTGACGAAACTTCCGAAGTTTATGGTTCTTAATGGCCGGCCGCACGGGAGAGTAACCAACGGGTCTTTTAAAAAGTGGTGCCTGGTCCTGGCCAGTTTGGCTCAGCGGTTAGAGCGTCGGCCTGCGGTCCAGAGAGACCCGGGTTCGGTTCCCGCTAAGGGCACATACGTCGGATACAATTTGTCCCCGACCCTGGTTGGGTCAGGCGGGTGGCAACCACTCGATGTGTCCCTTTCACATCGATGTATCGATGTTTCTCTTTCTCCTAACCCCCCCCCATCTGAAACAACAAAAAAAAAGGAAAAACGTTCTCAGGTGAAGATAAAAAAACATAAATAAATAAATAAAAAGTGATTCCTGAGCCACACCCTCCAGCCCACGTAAGTCAGAATCTCTGGAGGCAGGGCCTAGGCATCAATGTATTTTAATGCTCCCAAGATGCTTTTGAAAAAAAAAACAAAAACAAAAACCTTTTAATTCTGGAATGTAAAGCTCTTTTTAATTATAGCTGACGTAAAATATTATATGAGTTTCAAATGTAAAACATGGCTATTTGATATTCGTATACCTGACCAGCACGAGAAACCTAGCAACCATCTCTCACCACACAAGGTCACCGCGGTACTGCCTGCACTCCCTCTGTTGTGTGTGACCCGCCCACGACTTACCTGTGTCATAACTGACTTTATAGCTCTCGATCCCCTTCGCCTTTCTGCTCAGGCCCCCGTCACCCAACCCTGCCGCGACACTTTCAGTGTGTGCCACAGCTGAGCGCCACAGGTTTAGTCCTTAACAACGTCTACTTATAGATTAAGAACATTTTGTCGTGTGTCACTGCACAACATGCTCCGGAAGAGGTCTCCAGACCGAGCGGGACTGCGGTTCTAGAACATCTGCAGGCGTTCCAGCAAAGCGAGGTGGGGGAGTCCCTGCTTACCTGGGCTCCGCGTGGGAGCCAAGAGAGACGCTGCGTCGGGACACGGCTCGATGGTGCACCAGCTTTCTCGGTTTATCTGAAAGAGAAGAACAGCAGATTGGTTCAGACAGCGAATCACGTGGCTGCTTTCCCAGCGGCTGCAAGTGTATCTACTATACCACTGCTCCCACCTTTATTGCAAAGGGGGTGAAATTATTTTAAGGAAAAAAAAATACCTTTCCACGATACAATCAAGGCAATCCACACTAAAGAGATTTTTGATAAATTAGGCATATAAAAGTTCTTTTTATTAAATTTAATACACTTTTAAAAATTTCCATTAGAGCCCTGGCCAGTTTGGCTCAGCGGTTAGAGCGTCCGCCTGCGGTCCGGGGAGACCCGGGTTCGGTTCCTGCTAAGGGCACGTACTTCGGTTGCGGTTTGTCCCCGGCCCTGGTTGGTCGTGCGGGTGGCAGCCACTCGATGTGTCCCTTCACGTTGATGTTTCTCTCTCTCTCCCTCCCACTCTATCTGTACAAAAAATGGAAAAATATCCTTGGGTGAGGATAAAAAATAAAAAATAAAAAAATTTTCCATTAGAGATTTTTAACAGTCCTCTCTCAGTAATTGATAAAACAGGTAGACACAAAATCAGTAAGGATATAGAAAACTTGAAAAACATTATCAACCAATGTGGTTTAACAAACACATACAGAGCATTTCCCTCAAGGATAGCAGAATACATTCTCTGAGCGTACATGGAAGATAGACCACATTCTGTGGCATAAAAGAAGTCTCAAATTTGGGGATTAAAACATACAAAGTACGCTCTTTAACTTACACAGTACTAAATTTTGAAATCAAAACCAAAATGATATCTGAAAAGAAATACTTAGAAAGTTTTTTAAATTCTTTTAAAAACCCATGATCAAAGAAGAAATCTTAAGGAAACATTAATCGTTAAATATTAGAAAATATTTTTAATTGAATCAAAATAAAATATCACCTATAAAAATTTGAGGTATAGCTAAAACGGTGCTTAGAGCAAAATTTATAATATTAAATGCCTATATTAGAAAAAAGGTCTCAAATCAATAATTAAGCTACCACCTTAAGAAACCAGAAACAGAACAAGTTAACCCACAGCAAATAGAATTTAAAAAAAATTTTTAAACCAGAGAGCAGAAATCAATGCAATAGAAAACAGAGAAACAAAATCAAAAGGTGGTTTACTTAAAAAGATCAATGATATCAGTAAAATTCTAGCTAGACTGAGCAGGAACAAAAGAAAAGTTACAAATTATCAGTATCAGGGACATTATTACAGACCCAACAGACATTGAAAAGACAACAAAGAAAGATTATAAACAACTTTACTACATATCATTATAACCCAGATTAGAGACCTTTTCCTTAGATGTTTTTGAGGAGCATAAAAAACCCAAAGGTATGTAGAAACAGGAAAGAAGAATGGCCCTGACTATATACATGGTAACACACCTGTTCTCATGTTAGTCTCTTTTCCAAAAGGTGACCTCTAAGACAGAGGTTTTTATATTAATAATAAACTGGTTCTTTTCACTATCAACACTCTTCTTAACCAGCTCTGAGATGAGGCTTGGCAAAAGATTCTGATCACCAAATCAGGATTAGGAGACAGAACAGAAAGAAAGAATAGTGTTGAGACTGCGAACAACTTGAGTTTTAAGACAAAAATGAAGATAATGATTATGAACCCCCTCTATCCAGATGTTGCCTTGATGGACTCTTTGAGCTATTAGTCAAATACAGGACTGGAACAGACTGAATGGGTAAGGGAAGGAATGTTTCAAGATCATTCACAAATTTAGTGTAGCAGATAGCTCAAAATGAGGAAAACAGAAACGATGTCATTAAATATCCACCTCTTCTGGAGGGATAAGTTACCAGAATTAAGTTTCTGGCTGTGACCAGATTCACAAATCTTTAGCTATTCATAGCATCTCCATGACAAGCAGATCATGGGCACTGTAGGTATTCTTCATCCAATGTTCTGATGAGTTATATAGAGCATAAGACACATGAGATAACAGAAGATACTTCAGAAGAAATGCCAGATCCACCCCCCACCCCCCATGTTATTTTTCATTCCCTGGGACCCCTTGTGATTACATCAACCACACCCACGTTGTATTCCCACCAGTCTGAAAATAGAGTTGTACATATTTTCAGTGCAGAGGGAGCTGGCTTTTGTTTCTGGCAGTGTTTCTGTTACTGTTTATATCTGAACATCCTAATAATACAGCTCATGGTTACACCCAGCCTTCCCAGCCATTGCCCGTATTTACTTCCTCTGCAACTGTCTCGGGAGATCCAGCCGGAGTTCCAAGGCTGAACAAAAGGAAGCAAAAACCCACCATCCGGACATGGAAGCCAACACTTGAGTCAGTCTTTTCAGGGAATCAGATCCTAACTGAGCAGAGATACTGTAGCTGTCTTCCCCTCTCAGCCTCCTTAGCTTTTGTTTGATACAATGTGGAAGCTTAAAGCAAGCAAACTTTTCAACGATGTGTATTTCTCTGGAAAAATAACACTGGAGTTAAAGACAAGCTACTCCTTCTGAGCTTTAGCTAATGAGGTTACATGGCCTGCCCAAACATTATGAGTAGGAAGGAGGTGGTCCTCTGTAAATACTTAGTCAGTGCACGCAAAACACTGTTGCAAATCTTTTAACCACTCATTTGAAACTCTGATTTACTAGCTACAAAGTATGCTCTCAATAAATTGTCAATAACATGAGAAACAAGGTACCCAATATTATAGTAAAACAGAAATGGCCCTTGGACTAGTGTAGATCACCAGTTAATCCTAGATTCTGACCCTCTTCTTTCTGGGATGGTAGTTTTACCAACTATCTGATACTTGCTATCCTCTTGTGGTAAGAATGGTCCCAGGAATGCTTATCATGTCAGCTACTGCACTAGGCAAAGGCTCCTCCTCTCATTCATCAACCTGGGAGGTCAATACTAGCTTATTGAATGATGCTGCGAAAAATAGGCATGTAGATAGATACCAAAGGGATTCTGCTAACAATTAAAATTCTTCCATATCCCACTTTGAGCATGTGATTTGTAATTACCAACCAGTTACCCTAAGAGCCGGGAGTCATATATACACTAGGAGAGAGCAGCCAATGCTATACAGTGAGGAAGAGGAATGTGTATGTGTATAATTGGATGGGGGCTTGAAGGGGTCAATGACAAGGAATATTATCAACTTATGTGTTATTATTTAGGAAAAAATTTCAGAAAGGAGGTAAGATTTGGGGAATTTGGGGGGTTGATGATGGGAAGTAAGAGCTGATAAAGACCAATGTATACAGCCTTAGGGAAATCTGAAGGCCCTGATGCAGAAGAATTACCATGAAACTAACTATACAAACGAGATCAGAATGCAGAATAAACCAACGAAAGTGTGGGTACATGACACAGGTTGGGAATTTTGAAGCTAATCTACAGTGGATTATTAGGGTGCCAACGAAAGGGACTGGAGGTGCAGATGGGAAATACAAAAAGACAGGTTCCAAGTCTAAATGTTGTGATTACTGTCATACTTCATCTCTGTGATCTTACACCAACCTTATGAGTACATTAAATACAGTTTATACAACATAAATGCATACTTTCAAATCTTAAAAGATTGCCTCATTCAGTTAACAAATACTTATAGAGTATTTAATATGAATTAGGGACGCTGATCTGAGTCCTTAGATATAGTTAGTGAACATATGGAAAAATGTCAGACTCAGTATAAAAAGCAAACTTCCACAGATAAAAGTGGATTGAGAACAAATACATGATCAACTGAGAACTAAAGCAGCATATATACCCAATATAGTATTTGTAAAAGACACTGATTAAAGATACTGAAATTCAAAATGGAAGGTAATTGAAGAACACTTACGCATAACTTTTTAATTTTTTTTATTATTATTTTTTATCCTCACAGGAGGACATTTTTCCATTTTTTGTTCAGACAGAGTGGGAGGGAGAAAGAGAGAGAGAGAAACATCGACGTGAAAGGGACACATCGAGTGGCTGCCATCTGCACGACCAACCAGGGCCGGGGATAAACTGCAACCGAGGTACGTGCCCTTAGCGGGAACCGAACCCGGGTCTCTCCGCAGACCCACGCTCTAACCACTGAGCCAAACCGGCCAGGGCTATGCATAACTTTTTAAAAAGAATTGCAGGGAAAATTTGCTACAAATTATGTGACAAAGTGAAAGTATAAGAGATCATGAACCTGTCCAAAGTTTTACAGAAGGAAATTCTGCACTGAGAAAAAAGTGACTGACTTCTAAGACTTTTTCCAATATGAAAAGTCTAAGATAGAAAAAAATCTATACACACACACACACAAATTAATATACCTATTCATGTAATAAAGGTCAAGGACAGCAAGAAAAAACATGGATTATGAACACGATCAGGTCTGAAGTTGCATCCTATCAGCTGTTATGTATGAACTAGAAGACCTTCAGACAATTACTATCTGCACCTGTCTTTGCAAAGGTAAAAATCAAATGCCTGTATCTCCTATCCGTCTACTTCTTCCCACTCCAGACCACAAAACCATCCTACCGTGCCCGGACCACCATAACGGCAGCCCCACTGACGCCCACACTGCCAGAATGATCCTGTATAAACAGAAATTGAGAAGCAATGTAGCCAAACAAAGCAGACTCCTCACCATGGAAGGCAAGACCCTGCTTTTCCGGGTCCCACTTCTGCCTGCAGCCTCCTCCTCCACTCCCCACTTAAGATTCAGGATGCTCCTGGACAATGTCTTGCCTACCTCGGGGCCTGGTCCTTGCTGTCTCGTTCTTTCTAAAACGCCGTGCCTCGGTATAGCGGGCACCGTCTTACCCTGTAGAGAGGAGTTTGTTTGTTTGTTTTTTACATATCAGCACCTGCGAAAGTTCTCTCTAAAATTGGTCTCCCCACCCTGGTGGTTTGGCTCAGCGGTTAGAGTGTCGGCCTGTGGTTAGAGAGACCCGGGTTCGGTTCCCGCTAAGGTCATGTACCTCGGTCGCAGTTTGTCCCCAGCCCTGGTTGG